CAGCTGAGCTTTCAACATGAGCAACATGAGAGGCCCGCAGCCTCTGCATATGATACCATGTGCCAGAGGGAAAGACAGACGGAGAGAAAGACGGAAAGGAGAAGGAGGCGCTGGAGAGGGAGAGACAGAGCAGACACAGAGACACAGCTCCCCACAGTGGAGCTGCATTGTACAGACGACAAAACACCAGTGGAAACCAAACACATGTAAAAGCTTGGACGTGTGCAGAGGCTACCTAGAATGTACACTCTCACTCCTGCGCCTCGCAGCAGCCGCTGTAGCTCAGTTTATGGCTCGACAGCGGCGTTACAACGTCACAGACAACGTCAGAGCCTGCAGCGACCAGATTTCTGAAGCTGTGTGTGCACAATTCGGCTGTGGATGGGAGACGCCCCGGGAGCTCTCTGCCAAACGTAATGTAATTAGAGGATAGGGTCGACACAGGCAGACCGGGGTGAGGAGGGCTAATCAAGTCTCCGAGTTGCTCTCCGTCTGTAATCAGGGGGACGGCAAAGAGAGAAACAGGCAAAGAGATTAAATTGATTAGAAATTGAAATCCCAAACCAAATATGTGCTACGAGAAGTTAATTACAATTAAGTGGATCATTTTGTTTGAATCTAGCCTTAATTTCCCCAGTCTCTGTGACCATTCTTCCTTCTCCTTCACTTCTCTGAGAAAACTTCACCAGAAGTATGTTTACATGTTGTACATGATGCACGAAAAACAAGAATTCCACCAAAATTTCGATCACTGACGATGTGATTTAATAAAAAAAACAGGTGAAACATGATTGACAGCTAATGTTTGTATTGGCTGGACCTCGTTATCATCCCTGGTAGCGTTAGCATCTGGGATATTTTGGGACGGTGGAGACACATCCGTCGTTATATTAAATTTATGGTTTGCTGCCTAGAGAAAGAGACAAAAGGTGAATGTCGCAGCAATGTGGATCAACTTCACCACGGGGGTCTCATCTGCATTATCTGTCTCATCTTCTCGTCAAATCGGGAACGAGACGCCGAGATACTTAAACTCCTTCAGGGGCAGCAGCTCTCCCCCAACCCGCAGAGGACAAGAGTCCAAGGTTCTTATCCTCCAACACTAAATAATGACCATCATAAGACAATTGATTTAAAGGTACTTTGGACAGCAGGTATCAATGCATAGTCCATGTTCAGTTGTGATCTTCATTATATTACACTCGAGTATTAGAAGCCATAGCTGCACTCACACTCTCAGCAACTTCTGAAAGTGGAAATCCTTTCACTGATAACTTTTTAATAGCTCGCAGTGAAGCTGAGGTTGTACGGCCCTCCAACGGCCTTCACCTGTTACCGGCATATTACATCAATGGTTTATGCAAATGAACATTTGTATGAACGCTTTCATTATCAAGGTCTCACAAGCAAAGGTGGGTTATACTCTCTAAACAGATGTTTTCCCCCATCCACAACTCATTCCCATTGCACGGCGTACGCCTCTCAAGCAGGCAGAGCAGAAACGTCCTTCAGCAACTCGTACACTCAGTGAAAACTCTAATCTGAGTGCTCTGGGAGTGGAAGGCATCCAAACAACTCGAAAAATCCAGAAACAAAAAACAAAAACACATTTGAAGTCCTTGGCTGTACCTGAAATGTGAAATGCACCGATAGTGTTCTCCACTTAATGTTGGTTATGAATGCATTTCTCATGGCTGCCCTCATGCCTTCACTTAACCCAAGGTTGGCCACTCTGCTTCAATGCTGTCACTTCAATTAGGGTGCGACTGTGTATCAGTCTCAATCTGCAGTAACGCCGGGACTCTAAAACTGCATTGATTGACAGTGTAGTCAGCGAAACAAGTTAGAAATATGACAGTCTGCGACGTGTTATCATCTTCAAACAGTGAGAGTGTTTGCAAATACTTGTTTAGTTAAACATTGAGCAGAGAAAAGAATAAGTTTCGCTCATTTCTTTGCATATTTGTACGACTTGGAGTGCATTGTTGGACTTCTCAATTTTTTCTTTAAGTTTTATTTGTAGTATGTTAAATCTATGAGTAGCTCTGCTGCACCAGTGAGAGTAAGGATAACGTTAAGCAGAAGAACTGACCTGTAACTGCGTTTAACGCACCACACAGAAAGGTCCTGGTCCATGCTGCCTCTCAGACAAGCAGAAATGTTCCATGGCCATAGTATAATTAAGGAACATTGCACCGTCCATCCATTATCTGTTCCACTCATCCTTTACAGGTACAAGAGGCTGTAGAATAAAACAGTACAAAGAATATTACTGCAGTAGAAGTATTCAGATCAAATAGAGGTAGTTTCCCCTGTAGCCTCAGTCGAGCTTGACATCAGCTGACTTGTTAAGTGCTTGGTCATAAGCATTAAATACGTTCGATGGCACCGAGGCGGCTCAGATGTGTTGAGTCGATCAGTCTGGGATCGACTGAATTTGTAATCGTCTCACACTTGTGAAGTCTTTTCTTACTCGTATCCGTCCGATATATAAACAAGGCGTGGTGCACAAACTGTGTCTCAAACTCATTAAGCATGTGCGAGTGACTCCGCCACAGATGAACACAGTCGGACGACGACAGACAAACCTCTGACAAACAGCACGTTATTGATTCGCCACGTCCAAAAAAAAAGGCTGTTTTCCATCATTGTTAAGTGATAGGACGGCTGATATGTTGCAGCTCAGCTGGTGATGAATTCTGCTCCGAGTGCGTATCTGACAGGTTTTGTTGTGAATGTCACACTCCCAACATCTCCACTGGGGTCATTACAGATGCAAATCCCAGTCGCAGATGTGTTTTATGACACCTGCTCTTGTTTTCCAGGCCGGCCCCGACAAGTGTCCCATCGAGGACTTGCAAATCAAGACAGGAAACGAGAGATGGGCGGACAGGTAGCCCCGCTTAGCTGTCAGCGTTGTCCCTCGTCTCCATTAACTCCCCCCCTCTCCTCTTTCCTCCCGATCACAGCTCTGCCATTTGCGCTCCCATCAGTCATTTTCATCGCCCCATCCTTCTCCCCGTCTCGCTGTCTCTCCCCACGTTAGATGAGGACATTGCACCCCACCTCTGCCTGATACTTGAGCATCTGCTTCCCGCTGCCACCGGTTGTCTCCAGAGAGTTCAATGCATATGAGGGTTCAGTGTGGTCAGGGTCAAATTGCTTCCTGTGCACATGTCTGGTTCATGCAAACGAAATATAGGTTTCAATAACATGCTGAAGAACCTGCCCAGCGCTGCATGCGCGCTAAACTATGAGGTCGAATGGAATGTAAAAATAGACCATTGTTATTTCCCTGAATCCCAAAATAAGGTTGCAGCAGTAAAACCCCACATTTGAGACGACACGGAGACTTGCTATCGTGCAATTCAGCCAAGAATTACCAGAAATATCCTTGAGCCCAATCCCTGCAGAGGTTAAACACCTGGGTCGAACCGCCAGTCAGTCGAAATTGAAGAAGCCTCCTGGGTGAGAGGTGAAACGTTTTCAAGTATCTACAACCAATTCCAGTCGCCCTCAATTCAACCAAACTTCGATAAGGGATTGTATTAACTTTTCTACTTACATATCCCATTAATACGTAATTGATCTTCTTGGAACTGCACCTTTTTAACGTTGACCTCACGCTGCACTTACACGTATAATTATATCCAACCAGGGAGGAACTCGTGAAGTTATGAATCATCTTTCTGTTGTCAAGTCGAACTTTCTTCCTCTTGAGATTAATCCAAAATCAAATATTAAAATAAAAGAGGAACGAATGATTATTCTGGTTGACCATGAGGAATAATCTATGTCTCAATGGGAGTAGGTTTTAATTTTAACGTTTACAGAGCAGAGTCGCTTGAAATGAACGTTTTTCCATGTTAACAGGGGCGTCGCAACAAGGTAGGCAAAACAGACAATTGCCTGGGGCCCCAGATAATGGCTGTTTATGTAAGTACACAGCAACAACAACTTTTTGTAAGCACCCACTTAAATTCTATAATTGGCAATGTACAGGAATCTGAAAGAACCCCAGAGTCAGAACCCCGTGCTGCGAGTTTTCTGCCAAAGACTTCTGAGTTTTAGATGTTTGGTTGGAGACCAGATCGTCTATGTGTGTGTGTGTGATAGCAGAAGTTTGCACTTAATCTACTGATCTAATGTTATGATGAGGCCTGTTGCCCCTGAAGTCCTGTGAAATGCTACTGTAGAAAAGGTAAAAGATAAAAAAGGTGTCTTCAGCCACCATCCAAAATCCCTGACGTATTAAACCTCAGAAACCTGGTGCCTCGTCCAAGGTTTTTTTAAATAGTTTCAGTTGCAGAATCACTCAATTTAAGTTACTTATGTAAATAAATGTACTTGATTCACACTTCAGACTGTAAAGAGCAAGAGGAGTGACCAGAGTAAATGTGATATAAAAAAAACAAGGCAAAGACAAATCTGGGAAAACCAAGAAGAGCAGCTCTGATTAATCAGAAACATCACGTTGAAAATAAAGTACAAAACAAAAAAGGTGCAAAAAAGTTCCTCATGCTAAATCTAAAAAAAATGGGCGTCACACCTCAGTGAACTGAGAATTTCACTTCTCTCAGGAGATGCGTGATTATCCTCCAGAGCCGACATCTGAAACAAGGCCAGAGCCAGTTGAGGCCTATACAGCCGCGGCATCAGTGCAGGTTTCAGTCGCAGCTCGGTTTCTGTCTCCATCTGCTTTGCATTGTAAAACAATGATCTGCTCGAAGCTTGAGAGTTTTAAACCCTCATGAGGTTTGTGTGGTCGCCACCTTCACAAAAAAGCAAATTCATTTATTTTTTTTTTTGTGTGTGTGTGTTTACAGCCAAACTGCTGCTGTAAAATGTTTTTGTTTGTGGAAGTTTCCGGTTTAAAAAGTAAAAGAATGAGAGCTGACACTTGAGTAAACCCCAGGCCTGTCTGTGCTGCAGCTCAACGTGCACAGGCTTGTACCTGCAGGGTTAGTCAAGGAAGGAGAGGGAAGCCTGAGAAAATAAGGGTCGGAGCGTGTTGTTGAGCACATATTCCCACAACAACTTGGCGTTACGAAACATTCTCCAGTCGTTTTTGGCAGCAGGACACACATGTTGTAAGTATAAGCTCCAAAATGGCTTTACCCGTGGATATAGTGGATGAACTAGTAGCATTGAGCGGTTTGAATGTTTTACCTCCCCTCCGGTCTGCCTGGTTCTTCGGTAATGACTGTCTCTCTCTCTCTCTCTCTCTCTGTGTGAGCATGTTGCTAAAATAAAACTGGCATATGTTTTGCGGTCGGCCGCCTCTCATCTTCCGGTTTGTGTGCGAGTGTTTCTGATGGGACTCCTGTGATCCGCGCAGTTTTTATTGGACGTTTCTCCCTCTGTGGTTCTGTGCCGCTCAGTGTGCCTCCAGCTCTCTCTCCCTGCCATCCCCGAGAAAACATGAAAAAGGTCCAAAGACGAGCGAGAATTATTTCGGCTGCGTTTTTTTTTTTTTTGTGATGCAATCAAAAAGGGGGGGAAAAAAGAGTGGCTGCATTAGGTCTTTCTTCTGATGCCTTGTCCCGTACTTCTGAGGGACTTTTTGATAACACATGGCTTGAAAGTAGAGTTCAAAGCCGTGCTGTCGAGGCTGTCAGAAGTTTGGCTGAGGAGGTTTCATCCAGCTTTGTTGAACGGGCAACTTTTGAGGAATTGGATTCTTGTTTTTAAAGCAGATATTAACTCTTTTGAAGAATTCTCACGTTTGGTTTAATTAATTCAGGACGCTCGGCTCCATCCTCCAAAAACAAAACAGCAAACGGAATCTCCTCAAACTAAAGTATCTAAAAACACACTCACTGAATTAGACGTCTCAAAATAGAATGGCTAAGACTTGTTAGCGTTGTTCTGTTATCTTAGCCACAGCGGTTAGATTTTGCACCGCACCCGACGCACAGAGTTGTCGTTGTTCGAGTCAGTAGCTCGGAACATTTGCCGGAACTTTTCCTGCCGGGTGTGTGTCTCCTCACACTGGCTCCCGGGTTCTGGTCCTCTCAGTCAGAGTGATGCTCAGCTCTCGGACAGTTCTGCCCGGAGCTGTCGGGGGAGGTCAGTCCAGATCTGGCTCAATGGCGAGCCTGAAAAACGAGCGTGTTGAAATCAGTTAATTTTACAGTGGCACAATGTACATTAAGAAGTTTGATGCTACCAACAACTTATAAATGTGTGTAATTGTGCGATTGTGGTGTTGAAATAAACAACAAGACACAACGGTAATGTTACTTCCTTGATGATAAGTGGTGCTCGGCTGCACCCACATTACTGCTGAGTTTGGACAAGCAGTGAGAAGAACAGCTGTGGTTCATGATATTTCTTGTGACAACACCTCCACACTGACGACCGGTTTTCAGTGCTGGTTTCCTGAATGTGTCAGACGTAGAAACTTTAAGAATATGAGGAAGCAGCTTTCTGCAGCTAAGCAGCGAAGATTCAGAACAAACTCCCGCAACACGTTAGAAACAACTTGCGAAACTATTCTTCTACAATCAACTTGACTTTGACTTGCGTACATATTCAAAACATTTCCATCAACGCTCAAACCCAGAGACATCCCCAGTTTTATTCAAGCTAAGGAGACATTTCATTTTAATTCCACTTTGCCTGTTGATTTGTCCGTCTCTGCTCTAACTTCTGGGGCAAACAACATATGACGAAAAGGAAAGACTCACCACTGACCAGTCGGCTGTTTTCTCCTTTCTCTGTTTGTACTGGTCTCTCGTAATGAATCTTGATTATTAACTACGTAACGTGATTTGATGAGTGACCGTGATGTTTGCCTGAGTCACACAATGTAGATTTTCAGCAAATCCAAAGATTGCACTCTCTCCCTCTCTCTCTATATATTGTTGCTTAATTTCTTTATTGTGTCCGTTGGGGATGCATGCTGCCAAACATACAAACAGTTAATTCCTTAAACCTACCTACTAATGAAATCCATCTATATGCAGCAGACTGAAAATAATATGTATTGAACAGATTTCTGGGGATGAGTCACATCTTAAGCGATGTAAAACAACATATGTCTCTATTTATACAGAAGCTGCTGCTCCTGCATGTTCACATTGCACATTTATATAAATACCACAGACATAATCTGCACAGTATCTCTCATCCGTTCTCCACATCACTCTATCCTGAGAGCCTGTCAGAGCAGATGTCAGTTCTCTATTTATTTGCGCCACGTTTAATCTTGTTCACCTGTAATTCCTCATTTTACATCTTCGTCTCTGACTTATTCTCATCTGGTTTATCTCTGCTGCTTCTACGACGACCCACTTTACCCACTGGGATCATTAAAATTCCATCTATTTTAAGGATTTTCAAACAAGTGAAGTAATGGGAAGAGGATGCAGCCAGTTCGCTGCCATGTTGACATAAATCTAACTCGGTGTTACAATTAGATTTACAGAAATACTTTCAGCTTAGTTTGGTGATCCCAATCCCCACAGTGGCTTCAAGGAGTCCCACAGAATATTAATCGTATAAAACCAAGATAGAAGAACGTTTAAATGTGTAAGACAGAAAATAACAAAGGACCTTTTTATTAAACGTGATTTTTTTTTTTGTATTTGTTGGAATAAAACACATTGATTAGACTTTACAAACAATATCTGTAGACTTTTTAGAGTTTAAAAAAAAAAAGGTTTTAAATGTGCAGGTGAGATCTCACCCCTGCATAATACACAAATACAGAAATCATGCGATCCTAAAAAGTTTAAAATTCTCACATGAGAAAACCAACATATATAAATAACAATTAAATTATAATAAACAACAGTAAAAGTGTGTGTGTGGTGACTAAGTGTTAGAGTGTGTGTAAAAGTATACACATGTGTACATATGCACCAGTAAACTAAATAAAATAACCTTATTGCTTTTCTGCTCTGTTTTAGTGTCGTCAAGAGGGAACTCACTTCCGGAACAAAACACTGACGGTTGATTCCTTGTGTTCCAGTCAGAGCCAATATGTGAGTTTTCATTAATTTCATCCTCTAGATTTGAATTTGTGATAAAATGAGGTGGCATCTGTGTTATTATTTTTCACAATTTCACAGTATAATGCATTTGCATCAGTTATTTCAAAATTAGATTCAGCTAAAACTTGAATAAACTATTAATCTGTCTGAGGCCCAGTGAATAACGATGTGAGTGTAGTGAAGCTGAAGGTCTGCGCTGTAGTGATCGTGATGAGGACCAATCACGAGTCAGTTTCTCAATTATCATGTTCAGGTATTAATGTCATCAAATATCAAATTGAAAACAAACTTACTGGGAACTTGAACAGTTGAACATGAGTCAGTGTAATGACACAGAAACCATCTTTGAGGAAAATGTATTTGATGTGGCTTTTTAGTTTGGTCCATGTCCAGTCTGCCAACATGGAGAAGGAAGATTTAGCTTCACTTTGAAAAGCGCCATGTCGTCCATCTTTGTTTACGATCAACGATCTGATGTGATCAATAGATACAGATTTCTAAACGACTCGTTTCTCCGATCTTCTGTCCTCTAAACGATAATAAACACGTCTTTGAGAAGATTTACACTTTTCTGATCCTGTTGCTCTGCAGGGCTCCTATCCATGATGTCACGGTATGGGCGGAGTCGCTGGACCAGCTTCTGGAGTGTAAAAGTAAGATTCACCCTCTCGCTCTGTTGTCCGACGCCGCTCTCTCTCTCTCTCTCTCTCTTTTCCCTGCCGCTCAGCCACACAGATCATCTTGAATCGCCCTCTGGCCTCTTCAGGAGGATGGAGGATATATTCTTCCTTCAACCTCATCAAATCCGTTCGGAGATATATTTAGAGGGAGGACGACGCCGGCCGAGATAAGAGGCCTCGTATGAGCTGCCAGTGTGGACAGGGTGATTCAGGCCACTCGTTTTCATTTAAATCGCCGACTTCCACCTGACCACATTCCCTGCCTCTATTTGAAAAAGACTAAAGGGACAGAAGGGTTCTCGCCCTCTCTGTCCGCTGCCTTTCTTCTCTCATTACTTTTTTAAAAATGAATTCAGCTGATCTGTAATATTTCAGCCCCGGTGTCTCCAGCATTAAGATTAACTGTCCTCCGGAAGATAAATTCTCTCTTGCACCCCACTTGCTCCATTTCCCTTTGTTAGAAATGCAGTGTCACAAATGACAAATTGGTAAACAGCCGGGGAAAAGATAAATAGTCGTGCATGTGGCAGATGCAATCTGACGGCATTTACCTTTGCATCTTGTGCGATTTTTTAAGTCGACTCTTTTATGATTGAGGGCTCAGATATCGAGCTGGAGTGATTCGCCGCGCTCTCTGGACATATTTTGTTTCCTGTCAATTACTGTCACAGCAGCGTCTGTGATTTATGTACAGCAATTTGTGTAAATAACACCGGTGCTTGCAGTTAGCTGTTTGATTGTGTTCCCGGAAGACGTGCTAAGTATTTTACACCTGCGTTGGAATCACAGTGCCGTGAAAAGGCCTGTAACAAAGGTAAGGGGTGCGAGGAGGAGATAAGGACTATAGGTGCGTGCAATTATATGAGGCGGAGGCGGTGCACGTCGGGGAGGGTTTTGAAGTTAACGGCACTCCAGACATTCGTCACAATAACCTGGAAGTTTGCTGCATCACCGCTTTGTTCACTGACTTCTTTGAGCTAACGAGGGATGTGGTGAGGAAGGGAGAATGTGAGTGAGAGATAACTGAATAACATTTAACTACGGCTCGTTGCTCTTATGATTAAAAATACGCAGAGTTTTAAGTAAACAAAGGAAGGTATTAAGAAGGTTCTGGGTTCAGTGCTTCAGCTTCCTCTGACTGTTTCCCCACCTACACCTGCACCCTGCACTTATTGGGGACGACGAGCTGTCAATCACAGTTTCCACACCCGTGGGATCAAAATGAGAAAGATGATGTATTGAAGAAGACTTGAATCTAGAGATTTAGACCATAAATCACATAGGAAGATGTTTACTGACGTTATAAATCAAGTGAGAAATAAGAGTTTCTGCACCCGGAGTCAAGCATCCTGCATCCCTTAGAAAATAAGTGGTGAAGATAATGAATGGATGACTGTAAAATGAGCATGAAAGGTCAATCTGGAATTCAGGATTTGTATGTCTGACAAACTTCAATATCGAATATCTTAACAGTGGATAAAGGTGTCACACAATCAGTTCCGTTTACTCGCTAAAGTGTGAAAAGCCTTTAAAAGGTCAACTGAAATCCAATTTTATTTTATTTTACTCTTCACACAAAATTGATCTAATTTGTTCTTCGGCACAAGTTAAAGTCTTAATATTAAAGACATTAACATGATTCAAATCCAAAAGTCTGGTCTTGTCTTTTTTTACACAGCGGGCCAGCTGGTGTTTGAAGACTTCCTGCGGACAGAATACAGCGAGGAGAACCTTTTATTTTGGCGGGCCTGCGAGCGCTACAAGAAAATTACCAGCGAGGCAGAAAGGACGGAAGCTGCCAAAAGGATCTACACAGAGTTCGTCCAGGTTGATGCTCTGAGACAGGTACGGCTCTCGAACCGAGGAATATGAAAGAAGTCAGACCTGTGTCATTTTAAATCAGCTGCAATTGTGGGCTGCACGGTTTCACTCACTTCCACTATGACTCACATTCATGTTCATAAGCCGCCTTTGCTTTCTCTGCTCAGTCGTACGCGGCTTTTCTTTCACTGTTTCCACCACGTGCAGCGCTTTCTCATAATGTAAAACCATCTCCGAACAGAAACAACTCATGGGTGAAATAAAAAGTTGCTGTTTTCTGAACACAGATAAACATTGACTGTGCGACGCGAGAGGGAATCAGAGAGAATCTCTCTGAGCCGGGGCCTGATTGCTTCGACAGGGCGCAGAGACTGATATACAGTCTGATGGAAAACGACTGTTATCCACGATTCCTCAAATCAGAAATCTACCAAGCTCTCCTGGAACAGCAATGAAAGCAGCTCGAGGGAATAACAGCCTGGCCGACGCCTCTCTGGATGATTGACTCTGCACTTCGCTCCTTTGAATTTCAGTTTAAACAAAGAGGCTCGTCTGTGACGGGAAGCAGAAGTGAACGCAGATACACGGCTGTCGGTACGAGGACTGACAGCAACTTAAAGCCGAAACATTATCAAAATAATGTATTAAGCAGCTTTTCAGGCCGGTTTTGGGCTCCGACTGCTGTACGTTGCATAAAAATGTCCTGTAATTCAGTCAAAGGATGAAATGAAGTTCTGAAAAGATGATATTTGTTTGGAAAGATGAGTATCAGGGGTAAAACGTGTATAATTTGTACACAGGAGTCAGTCATTGGAACCCTTGAATTATTCAAACTGAGGTATATTGAACTTCTGACGAGCCTGTTTGCAGAACATCCTGTCCCTTTTTTCAAGCACAGAAACTGATAATTAAGAAATATTGTCAACTGCCTAATATATTAGATTTTTATGCGCGAAATACTCTTAACGTCGTAAAAGACATGGTTTTTAAAATTCATTGTTCTACAGCCTTACAAATAACATGTTCTGTGTTGATAAAGACCAAAAACCTATTATTATCATCTTGCATTTTCTGAATAACTTGTTACCAGCAGTGTATTAAGTCTCCTACATAATCTAGTTTTTGTGGGATTCATATTACACAACACAATAATAGCAACTTTAAAGAATTTCCCGCTGCCGGCTGTGTAAATTTAGTGTTTTGTTTCAATGTAATACTGTATTTAAAACTGTGCTGTGTTGTGTTTGTTGGACCGGAACTGCAGCGTCTGTGGTTGTTTATGATGATCAACTAATGAACATGTGTGTATGCCAGTGTTGTGTCCCAATTTATGAGCAATCAACTGATAGAAACATCAGGAAAAATTCCCAGTGAATATCTTAATTTTTCAGGGATCAGTTCTGTGTCTACATTTACTAATGATACTAATAACACGTAGGTAAAATCTGAAAGTAGGTAAAGCCAAATAACTGCACATCATTAATCACAGATTAAAAGTAGTTCTGATGTTTTGAGTGATGATTTGTAATATTTTGAATGTTTTAAGTCAAGGCCACGGGAGGGTTAGGATATAGGATAGGGTATGAGATAGGATAGGACACAGGATAGGACATAGGGTAGGGTACAACATAGGGTAGGATAGGACATAGGACATGGTAAGGTAGGATAGGACGTAGGGTTGGGTAAGATAGGATAGGACGTAGGGGAGGGTAGGATACGACAGAGAAGGTCAAAAAGTTCGAAGAGAAGAAGGGAAGTCAGTGATTTGAAAAACAGCTGCAGACGTTGGACGAAAATAACCAAAAAAAATAAAAGCCAGGGAGGCAAAGTATTAGGACTGGAAAGAAAAGGAGGAAGTCAGTAATGAGAAAAGGAAGGATTTGTAGGGAGGGACAATGAGATGGAACAAGATGAGAGGAGTGGGAGGTGAGGGTATTAAGAGAGGCAGGAGGGAACGGGGCGAAAAGGAAGGAGTAAAGAAGGAAATTAGGTCTGAGCACAAACATTGGAGGGAAGGTTGTAGAGGACGGAGGGGGAAGGTGCGAGGCAGGGAAGTGGGACATGATTGAAGGAAGGAAACCCGGCAGGACGGAGAGACGGAGGGAAGGATGAACAGGGGGAGGGCTCGGAGGCAGCGAAGCCCCAGCATGGTCGACGTAACTTGAGCAGAAGAGGCAGAGATAAGACCCCATGACTTTGGGCTCAGGGACACACGAGTGGAAGAGTTCGCTGTGGGTGGGAGATGAGACCAACTTCTTTTTCTCGTCACAGAAACTCGACAGACATCAACTCCTCCTGCGGCAGATTTCCGCGCTTCAACTGAGCTTAAGAGATAAAGAAGTGATTACTGTTTATCTTTCTTTAGTATTTCTTGATCTGAGGCCACATCGGTGTTTCTCTTCTAGCTTCATCCCTCAGAGCCGCAAGTGTATTTGTGTCAGAAACACAGAGAGAGAAACTGCAACCCGGCTTAATAATCCTGTTACAAATATTTACCTTTGTTTTTATCACGGAAGCCACATTTTTTTTACGCTATCACGTAAAACACGGCCTCAAGATGCTGAGTTGTTTTTGACCACTAGAAGTGCTATAGAGCGATGTTGTGAAAACGGATGTAGAAAATAAAGATGGACGACATGACGGCAACCGAAGAGTGAAGCCATCTGGATCGTCCTCCTCCGTGTTAGCGGATGGGACATCGACCAAACTAAAAGGACAAAGTACATTATAAAATGCAAAAAGTACAGTTTTTGTGATTTCAAGTCATTTTTTTAAATTCAGTTTTGATTAGTTATTGATGGTATAAAAGGACGTCAGTGCCACAGCTCCACACGGCGCTCTCTTGTGAACAAAATTTTTTCCTCGGCCACAAGAAAAATTGTAGAGACCAACAATTCATTTTCAAAATGTCTTAATCATTTTTGAAGCTACAATAAAACATGTTTGGTGGTTTTGTCGCACTTTTATATCAAGGTCAATTGAACACATAGAGAAAACATAAGTTGATATAATATGTAATACAATATCTGTTCAGCCTTTCATGTGAATTTCATATTATTTCAGTTTCAGATGAAAACATTTTGCTAAAAGCCCTTGGTGAGCGTCATCTCATTAGTCCAAGTTTAGTTTTTTTTCAGGACTTGATAAAATGTGAATGTGATTTGTAATAAACACTGTACGTGCAGGATCTTCAATAAAAGACTAGATTTGACACAGGTGAAAATGGCGGTTTCCCCTTTTTTTGTCACCTTCTACCAGGTCTGTGATTCAGTCTTGTGAAGTGACTGTGAACGTTTCACCACTAGATGGAGACGAATGCTTGGTGTTACCAACTGTACAAGAACGGCCTCATTTGAAAAAGCAGAATCACTGTAAAGGACGTTTAACGACAGGTGTACTTGTTCATATTAAAATAAAACTGGCACGGGGAGCCAGGTTTTACAGGTTTAACACGTATTTTAATAAGTGTGACTCTGTAATTGAACCATTAGTCAGCTAATTATATATGATATTTAAGTGGGAACACTGCAGGGATGAATTGAACACTAAAGGATTTCCATATTTCTTTCTCTGTGTTCATTCAGTCTTATTCTTGGTTGAAGATTTAGAACAGTTCATGGCTTTTTAAAAGCAGGAACATGTGGTTAGTATATTCCTGCTGACGGAAGTCAACCAGATGAGGGGCTGAAGTGTTTCTCATGAATCAGGGGCTTCTGTCTGAGGACTGCGACAGCGTAATAGGAAGCTGTCAGTCTGACTTCCCCCTTGAATCTGCCTCGTGTTCCTTCGCCACCGGAATCTGTTTCACTTCCACACACATTCATCTGCGGCAACACTTGCGACACTGATCCTCCACCAAGGCTGCGGGGACGCTATTTTGTCCATTTCTGAAATGCTTTTGTTTTTGCTTTCATATCCCTCACATTATTTCAATCCTGATCTTAGACTCCAGAGGCTCAAATGGTTAATGGACAGAATTCATAAAGCTCAAGTACAAGTCACTTTAACCCATTGGTACAGCGCAGGGCTTTTTCTACCCCACACCTTTCATCCACCGCCAACGCAGCCATCAGGGACAACTTGGGATTCAGTATCTTTGCCAAGGACTCTTTAGAATCCAGGCTGGAAGAGAGCCAGGGATCAAACCACCGACCTTCTGGTTAGTTTACGAACAGGGACTGTGGCTCAGGAGGTAGAGAGGGTCAAACTGACCTAAACCATGACTCTACTAGAAAGGGGGAGGCAGAGCGCATACCTCCACCAAGGCTGAACGCCCCATCTCGCCAAGTTAAAGAAATCGGTATACAAACATCCTGGATCCGCCCTCTTTATTGAATCAGATGATGAGTTCTTCCTGGGCTCTAACCCCACCCTGGCAACAAAAGCGGTTTTGACCTAATCCCGCTAACCGCCACACAAACAGTGCCGACAACATTCTCCTGAGCTTAGACATTAAAAACAGAGACTATCATCAGATCTTATCTGTGAGAAAACAAACACATGGACGATGAATCAGCCACGAAAGAAAAACCAAACCCGTTACTGCACTTTTTTTGGGCAAGAAATTTGAAAGTTAGCGTCAAAGCGAGAACCGAATGTCCTCGCGTCCTCCCTCTCTCAGCTGGTCGCTCACTCGCACGTGTCGCTCATCGAGATTTCCCCGGTCTGATGTGAAAAACTAATTTCAGACAACGGAGGTGGTCTCTCACGCACACACACACACACACACACACCTTCGTTCACGCTGTTTTCTCTCCTCGCACTGTGACTGCAGCGCTTTTCACGCGTGACCCTGAAAACATTGGTACAACAACTGCTTCACTAATTTAAGGAACACATTGGTTGTGTGTTAACTCGGCCTCTTGAGAGAAAGCACATGCTGTAGCTTGTTTGTGAACGTGACTCAGTCGACAGAAGGCCCAGCCTCCGTTCACTAGTCACACACACACACATTTGCCAGTTTTACATCCGCTTCGGATTCGATAGTCAGATATACAACTGCAATGCCACGGTGCGTGAACACTAAACTATAATGTGTATACATACTTAACGTTGTGTATAGTTCCTGGGAGGAAACATACGCCCCGGTTTCACTCACCGTTGCCTCACAAACTCCACTTCCTGTCAATCAGATGTGACATTTCCTGACTTTCCATCATTTTGTAACGTGAGTGTCACAATAGTCTGTGAAAACGTGTGAAGTCTGTGTCGTTCAGTGGTCTGACGAAACAGGGATGCTGACAAGCGGGAAATTCTGCCGTTGTGAATATTCAATACGAAGTCATACGAATTGGATGATGAGTAAGAAAATGTGGTTTTGGTGAAAGAGTGATTAATGTTGAAGTGAAATAGGTGGATGAGTATGATATGATGTGAAATTTTTGTGACAGGGTCGACACTGGCTCGTTCTGGAGCTTTTGACTGCGTCGCGTGGTCTTCATCAGCACATGAACCTTTTCAGCTGGAAGATAACTGAACAAACTTTGTCCCCGACAGTGCGATACAGTCGAAAGAAAAAGTAATTTGTAGGTTTCCATAAAGTTTATCTTTGTGTCTGAGGTTTAAGTCCAGTGTGTTAAGCTCTGACAAACTCTGCGTTAGCTCATTAATAAAATATAATAAAGACCGAAATGGCCAAAAGGAAAAAGTACGTGGCTGTAGTGGATGAGTTTATGTGAAGTTCATCTTCTCTGTGAGAGATGAACGCTATTCAAAATAAAATGTAAAAGATGTATAAAAGAAAGCACACTATAACTATTTATAACTATTTACACATCACACACGTATATACGCCATCAATAATGTTTTACTATGCTACTGTGAACATGAGAAATATTAAAATACGGTGATTTGTATTTCCTGGTAGGTGCGTGTGGTCCGTGATTGATGTGTCCGTTTAAAACTAAACAACAAGTGAAACAAACTCATGAACGGAGAAGTTGTGGGGGAATTGAATTGGTTAATCTACGATATAATCAGTGACGATGATCAGAGGTTAAAAATAACTCTTTTGTGTTTTATCTCATTCGTTATCTTTAGTTCTGTCGTCTTAGTGAAAGTACTGCTCTCAGCGAGGTGCTGGCAGTACTTTGGTCGACATCTCTTTTCCACGAATTCTGTCAACCATCATGTGAAGAGGAAACCGCCCCACTGTTATCAGAGCTGAGGCCTCATCTTTGATTCAAGTGTTTGTTCACGGACTGAAAAAGGAAAGAAGAAGCTGTTCAGCTCTGTTGCAACCATACGTCGTGACGCCAGAGATCTGTTCAAATATTTAGTTCAAGTTCAGCTTCCAGGAAAACATCCATTTAAATGACATTCGCCAGGGAGGTTTTGTTTTTGCCCCTGACTGTCTGTTGGTTTTTTCATCAGCAGGATTACGCAAAAACTAGAATGTGGGTTTCCACAAGACGTATTGAAACACATACAATCCGATCCACAAAATCATTTCTTCTATGACCTTCTTTAAGATATGGTGGGTTTTTTTTGTGGCATTTTTCACAATTTTCCCCAGGAAATAATAATTAGTTGATTTTGATGTAAAACACACATATATGTAAGGGACTGGTAAATATGAATGCGTGTAACTTGGTGCAGCTTGGTTGAAGGCGAGTGTTGGCGGAGGTGAACCCTCCACAAGTGTCATTAAGGCTCTTTCAAAAGAAAGCTACTTCTCAAAATGGCTCTATAGTTCTGGTTGCCACATCATTGAGGCTTCACCAAGAGACACTCAACAGATGTTTATCACTGCGTTAAGAGGCTGGACTGTTGTGCTTTCTTTTTAGATTTCTGTTTCCATTCACCCTTCATTTTCATTGAGGAGCAAAATGAAGTCCATTCACAGTAACTAACAGGGCAGAAAGAAAAAAAACAGGATTTCTTAATGTGCTTCAGGAACAATGTCACTATTATTAACATGAACTCAAACACGTCTGAGTAGTTCAGCCTCACCTGTGATTATTCTGATCGGTTGAAGAAATCCATATATTAGCAATGACGTGAATTGTCTGTCAGACTTTTAACGAGGACACGGTGTTCAATATAAACCCCCATCCATCCAAAGGTGTGGTCACATACCTGCATGCAAATCAGACCCACACACACACACACAATGTTAGCAACACCCACGTACGCTATTAGCAAAATGACCTAATGACTTGACTGTGTTTTCATGGAGACAATACCTTTCATTGTAATCTGTGAAGTTGGAGCGGCTGAGGACAAAGGTTAAAAAAAACTGCAGCACCAGGTTCTACCTGAACCTTCAGTGAACCCAGGCGCTGTAGATTAAAAGTTAAAACATATATATCGTGATATTCGACGCTGTTATAACAAGCTCAGCGGACAGATCAAGTCACTGTTACTCCCTAATGTCATCTTTGCATCCTGTGAACTTTCCCATGTCCCAAATGCAAAGCGCTGTTCGATCAAGCATGCAGGAGTGAGGGTGTCGGCCACCGGGAAAAAAAAAGTCCCCGACCTCGCGTGTGCATCGACTGCAGCTCCTGCAGTTCTGTGGTGGAAAGTTTGAAATTACCCACTTCAGCATTTTCTTACCCACAAGGTTTCTGCCCCACAACAACAGAGAGAAACCCTGAGGGACTCCTGTGAAGCACCACTCACGCCCACATCAACACACACACACACACACACACACACACTCACAGACACACACACACTCACAGACAGTCACAATAGTATTTTGTAGAATTCCATTTCAATCTGGGTCATAGGGCATCGGACAAAAGTTTTTTATCAGACGCTCATTTACTAAACTGAGGTTTAACATGTTTGAGAGTTAGATCATTTAAACCTGTTCCACATTATTATATGATCTTTTTTTACTGATAGGAGTACTGAAGTACCTAACACTTAAATACATCCTCAGTATTACTCACTGTCCCTAACACACCCTTGCAATCATAAAGATCTGTATTGACTAATGTGTGTCATCTCATCCTCATAGGCCCAACCCTAGCTCTATGAACCAATTCATTAATAATTACTTCTACTACTATCATCTGATTAACCTCAGAAACTTTACGTAAAGTCGTGTGACAGAATCTACACACGCATGCACATAATATGTACTATATATATAATATATAGCATCAAGACCTCTGAGCATTTTCCAGGAATCAGCGTCGAACAGAAATTTTGCAGCAGTGAGTCAGTGAGCGTCTCTACAGCAGCTGCATGTTTATCCAGAAGGCAGAGGGATACCTGTAGCGGCAGGCCCTCCGCGTCACAGCCAGTACACCCTTGGTCTGTCTGCTGAGAGGGGAACTCGGTTTACAGACACCACAACACCCGAAGCTGTTCAGAGGACATTGGCAACGATGTCAAAATGCCCAAACGTTTGTTTTCAAAGGTTCGGTTTTATGAAATCAGGGATCTTATGCAAAATGTCAAGAGGCCCAGAAGGTAAGCCTGACAAATGATGAATGATTTGAAACGGGCAGATTTGCTCAACATGTTTAGTTTAGTTTAGACTAGTGAAACTAAGTTTAACATTTATTTTGCAGGAGTGATATTGTTCTTAATCGAAAGAGGCGTAAGAAGGACATCCAGGATCTAATGGTGCAAAAAATAAGTGATGAGCCATCTTCTTTGCAACTCAGGTAGTTTATGTTGCAGTAGTATAGATATGTCAATGTAATATATATATATATATGTTACTGGATGAAACTTAATGCTCTCAATCTTATAATCTGTGTTTATATTACAGTTGTCAGACTGAGCATAAACTGGATAAAGTGTTACGGGATAAAAGTAAGACATTTCTTCTTTTTTCTCAATATAAAATACAACAAAATAAATGAACAATGAAAATCTTATTCTAAATTAGATGGTGAGTGTGTACTGAATGTACCCTGATCATCTCTAAAGACTTCACAATCAAATACTTTTTTAAATCTTTCTCGCAGAGTATTTAGCAGCGTTCCAAACTTTCCTGCAGTCGGAGTTCAGTGAGGAAAACATCAAGTTCTGGCTCGCGTGTGAAGACTTCAAGTCGACCACCTCGCCGGGTGATCTTCGCTGGAAAGCAGAGGAGATCTACACCGAGTTCATCCAGCCGATGGCCTGCAGAGAGGTCAGTCCGTCACTCACACACCACGGTACATCTGGAGTAACAGCCAGCACACAGTTCAGATTGTCACGTTCTTTTCCCTTCAGCATATTTTATCATGCTAGATATAAACTGCATTTCTCCAAATTGATATTACAAAAAAGCATCAGGTATTTTTGCGACACACAAGAAACAGCTCCTCGTATTGGAAGGAGGATATTATCATGAGTAGATCAAGAGATATGGAAGAAACGAGAGCAAATCTCCTTCGAATCCAAATTCAATTCATGTCTAAACAAATGAAAAGACAACAGCTGAACGTTTAATCACTTTTCTTGTCAGAGTCTGAGGATCTAAATTTCAACATGAAGGTTTTGTGCATCGTAATCTTGAAGTGATTCACCATCTCATTACTGGATCCAAAATTAAACCGGCTATTTGAGTCCAACTGTGTCTGAGCCGTCTGATCCTGAGCTCGCTGTCCAGCCAGCTGCAAATATCACATTCATTGACTTGGATTAATGCAGCAAGACAGATCCTGAAGACTGAGAGTGAGACTGAGAAGACCTGGAGTCAATATTCGGTGTTTTAAAATCTAAAACCACATGCAGATCGGAAAAAGTCCTATGAGACACATTTGCAAGAATAGTTTTTAAACAAACTGGTTCGATGTTGACTCAAGATAGCTATTAGCAGCACGGGGTAACATCTCAGCTGCATTGGTGGCTTGTGGTTGTTGCCATCCATAAAGATTTTACCGTCTTCGGCAGGGGGACAGCATTGGGATCATCCCCCTTGGTTGAAATCAACAAATTGTCTACTGCTTGGTTACAGCCATGAACTCTTTTATTTTGAGGCTCATGTAACGACACACAAACGACCAAACCACGCAAACAAAAATTCATTTTTTTTTTGTCTTTTTGTTTTTTCCAGATCAACGTTGACCACTATATTAGGGAGAATATCAAAAAGTCCTTGGAGAAACCAAACCTCTCCTGCTTCGACGAGGCCCAGAAACACGTTTACCTGCTGATGGAGCGAGACTCCTGCCCCAGATTCCTGCACTCTGACGCCTACCTGAGTCTGAAGTGCAAGTCCAGATCTAGATGGTACATTTAACTGAGAGAGAAAAGTGTTCTCTGAACTCCTCACATTTTGTCTTTCTGTTTGCTGGACTGAAAAGTTATTTCACAATGTAGGGGATAATCCAAAATGTTTTCTTCTGATGGCAGAGCATTTCTCACAAACTCTGTCATCAACGTCAATCTCTTTTTGAAGACGCCTAGACAATAATACACTTCATTTATGAAGCCACTTTCAAAAAAAAAAAAAAGTGTTTTACGAGACACACGTGAAAAACATTTGAACACAGAGGCAATCTGAAGATCTCAAAAGAGCTACAGCTGAGAGAAGAGTAAAATCAAACTCAGTAGAGCCCCACAGGCCCCTTAAACTCAGCACCGCTTTCAAAGATGCACTAAAGTCACGTCCAAGTCAGTTGCTCTGGAAATGTTGTGCAAGTAGTTTAGGATGAAAAAAAAACGTGTGAAGATTGGACAGACAACAAGATTCTGCAGCGTTTGGTGACGAGGGTTCACATCAGCAGTGATTTGCTGTAAACAAAAACACAAGGCTCCGCCCCTCACTCGAATCTCCTGTACATTTCCGTGTTGTTGTGACCGCGTCTGACCCCGATGATATCCTGGTGCGCTCATCACGTGTGGAGGGCAAACTGACCCGAAACCAATCTTCGGGACATTTCCTAAATTTTCTTGTCGATAAAAAATGTGACAAAGAGAAGCTGGATCCGTGTCAAACTTTAAAACTGAAAGTTTAGAGCCAGGATAAAGACTTTGTACCATAAAATGTTTTTTAAGAAAGTGAATTCAGCTCAAAGTCCTGAGAAAACACCTGAATAAATATGTGTCTTTCAGAGGTATTTGATATGTTATTGAAGGTCAGTATTAATGACATGTGAGGCAGTCATAAGGTAATAATATACACCTACGAAGAAAAAAGTAATGTGAGTAGAAAAAGGTATTTGTACGTAGAGGAGAGAGAAAGCAGTTGGTACGTGTTAGAGTTTATTGTTATTTGAAATAATTTGTGTGTTAACCGAAAGTCTGAGTGAAGGTACAGGATCATAAATGATGAAGAATGGTAAATAAGTGGTTTCTGATCAATCAATAAATCATATCACAAATCACAATTTGTCTCGATGGGATTAAGAATGTGCGGCATCCTCTGTAAAATAAAATAAAATGTTCTTTTGTCGCCAGATCCTCCGCTCTCTTTTCTTTATTTATCCGACTGACTGACCAGCTGCAGGCGTGGACGCGGGCACGACTCTGAAAAAATAAGCGAGGGAAGAGTTTCCACAGCTCGCCCAGCGAGGAGATTCTGTTTTTGGTCACATGTCTGATATATCCTCTTAATTAGCTGCAGAGATGACTCCACACACCAGCAATAGGGTTTACCAAAGTGGAAAAAAGTAACCCTGAGGTAACCCTTGATCCTGCTCTGCTCTGTAAATGGCCTTATTCTTCAGTAATGTGCCTTAAAAAGGAGCAGTGAGGCAGCTAATAATAACCCGGCAGCTTAAACGACAACACGGGAGTCATCAGACAACCTGATGCGTAACAGATCAGCCTGAAATGTTCTGCCTTGTTAGGGGAATAATCTTGTCACACACACACACACACACACACAGACAGTGATGGTGGAGATTTACTTAGAGAAATAACCTGAAGGAGCTGGACGATGAGATCACAATGTCTCTTAGGCTCAAATGAAAGAGTGTAAACGTGTATAAGCGTCTTTATATTTCACTTTTATAAAGTTTTGTTGCTTGTTCTGTTTCTTCTGAGCAGGCAGTGTTTCCGGGCATGCTTCAAAAAGTGAAGGGAAACATAACGGCTGCAGCGATTACGCTTAAATCTCGGAACTAAATGATTTCCTCGCGGCGTTCTCGGGATAACGCATTCACAAGGAAAGAAGAGTTTTCAAATTCTAGTCAGGTCCAAGAGAATGTGAAAACTTCCATCAGAATCCCGGTGTGTGTTCCCGATAAATCACCCTTCACAAGAACAAGAGGTCACCGTGACGTGGACCAATGACCGTCAACCACCAAGTTCTAATCAGTTCGTCCCAAAGTTCAGTTGAACATTTGAAATATAATTTGGAGGAATTTCCTTTTGTCAGTCTTGAGATACTGTGTTCACCACAGCGTGTGGAGATGCAGATGAAACGTCCTTATTTCTAATCGCTAACATAAAAACATAATCCGAATATCTAAACATGTCTCACAGAATTTAAGTTGGAGCTCTGTTGTATATAAGTTGAGTTTTCTTTGTGGCCTGCTGGTGGAATCTATTCACGGGTCTCTCCACCAACAACTTTACTGGTCTCGACTCCGCCGAGCGCCAAAGTGAAACGTCAGTAAATCTGAGAACACGTGGGTGTGAGGGGTTGATCCTGATAAATGACAGAGGCGTCACGTCTCCTGCATCACGCTCTGTCCCTTCACACACAATCTGCCACTGTTTAATCATGGCTCAGCACTGTCACCATGGTGACGAGAAGGAAGTGAGTACTGTGGGCGGCAGGGTTTTGGTCAAGTCAACTTCACTCGCAGATCTGGATATTAGAGGTGATGTGACTCTATGTGAATACACGTGTATCCTGCTGCGCTCCTCACTAGTGTGAGCGTAGACAGAGAATAAAATATGAGGCTGGTGTCAGATTCACACTTGACAGCCTTCAGTTCTCGGTGTTTGGTGACGCTTCACAACGCCTCAGTGCTTCTAACCGTGTTTGGGCAAAAGAGGGAGAGCAGCATCAGAGAAGCCAAAGGGCAGATTGCAACAGGGCGGCCTGTGGCATCGGTGCTGGGACGCTATATGTTTGGTCAGGTTTCTGATAAAACAGAACTTTTAAAGGATTTTTTTTAAATAAATTTCTTTGCTGGAATTTTACCTCCGGGCCATTAATCAAAATTAAATAAATAAATAAATAGATGTTACCGCAATAGAATTTTGTCTCAAAGTAAAAAGGTGGAAAAGGCCACGTGACCGTGAGACAGTGCGCTACAATGGATTGAGAAGAGTGAGCTTTATATAATTTTTAAAGTTCTATGAACTTCGTACAGATCAGACTGACAAAAACAAGACAAGTACCATTTCCCCAGTTTTTAGACTCTATCACAGATCACCTCTCCGTCATGGATGGTTTCTATCTGCCTCCCAGTATGGAACATCTATACACGCTCTTGATTCCTGATGCGATTGGACATGTCCCACAAATGAGCCCCGAAGGACCCGGCGCGCTCCCATCAAGTCGGTCGGTAGATCGTCGAACAGCGTCACGTCTGACATCTCTCTTTTCCCTTCAGACGTGTCCGGACAACTCTTAATACGAACTATACACTGTTTCTAAAGATGGATGACATGACAGCTTCTATAGAGTGACCCCAGTTGGGACTTGGGCCAAACTGAAATGTCAAAGTACATGCCAAGTACATTTTTCCCGAAAGATGGTTATTACATTGACGTATGTTCCAGTGTTCTTCTTTCCCGTAAGTTTGGGTTTAATTAATTTTTTGATGCCATAAAAACGGGGTGAAACTTAATGATTGACGGCTGAGACTGACGTGGGTTGAGTGCTTATATCGGCGGCTCTTCCAAGTTACGTAACAAGCGCAAGATGCAGCGGGATGAAGGGGAGTCGTGTCGTTAAAGTCTCTGTTAGCCTTTCGTTTGTTTTACTATCTTTAACGTCCACATCCCTCGGAAACGGCGAGATGGGGAGACTACTGTCAATCATCAGAAGTTCTTTACGTTAACTTTTAATATAACTACAGCCTTTCTGAGGTTTATGGTATATATACTTTATTTTCTCGTATATAAGTAGTTCTGTGCCCTGATAATAAATACCATCTTCCACTCCTGCAAATATTTCACAATAAAACCCTTTAAAAACAAATGAATGGATTCAGTCGACAGAAACGCCGGAGTGCTTTTATTTTGAAATGGGTAGGCTATAGGAAGAGTATATTATATTGTCTATTCTGCTGTGAACCGTGGGGAAAAAAAGGGCGAGACCCTGATTCTCTAGAAGAGCAGCGCGGCGGAACGTCAGCTAAACCACAGCCGGCGTTCCACGAAGCTGGTAAATTCCCACGTGTCGTTGACCAATCGTCTGCAGACACCTCCGCTTCAATGTCAGCGAAAAAACATCTGTCATCGAGCAGCAGCGATTTGAGGAAACAAAACCTGAAAGCTCAAGCATCATTGCTGCCTGAGTTCAGATCAGTCACACGTCAATACACAGTTCGTCTTGTTCACCCGTCTGTTCTGAGACTGGCTCAAAGGCCGTGTACACGAGTCAGTGTTGAAATCGGCATCGAATTCCATGATTGTTACTAAAGTCCATTGGACCATAAGGGATATAATGTAATATATCTTGATTTCAAGGTGAATCCGCCGCAGAGACGTATAAAATTCAACGAGAATCCACTTGTCAGGTGTTTTATCTTCTCTTTGACCTCATTGGAAGGTTTCAACAATAAAGCTGAAAGCAGACAATGGTTATGACACGACCCTCTGACTTCCTGGCTCCCTCATCGCTCTGTTGCAATCGATCCACTGTTTCCTCTTTCACACATACGGCTGCATGGCGGGTCTTTGTATGAATTTCTGCAGAATTCTGATTTAAATGATTCAGGTCTTCAGACCGTGGTTCCCTCCTTGTGGCTAGAATGAGATCAGGTGATACTTAATGTGCATTAACCTGATAAAGCGGTGAGCTGTAAATACTTTACGCACTTTTAAATCCAAATTAAAAAAAAAAAAAGAGCGATGTGTGATCCATGTTAAAAGGACTCTTAGGGGCTAAGACTTAGTTTTAGGGTTAGAGTAAGGTGAGGTTTAGCCATTTAGTTGGGATGGTTAAGGGGCCAGGAAATTATATATTAAGCCAATGAGTGTTTTCACCAAAGCTGTGTGTGTGTGTGTGTGTGTGTGTGTGTACAGATGTGTTTGTAAAGACCATTTTTAGCCCAGATCTTACGGAACAACAGCATTTTGGGAAAGTGAGGAGATTTTGGTCAGTCCGCACTCTCTGGCCCACTTTCAAAGAGCAGTCTGAGGGTCCAGACTCGATGTTAGGGTTCGTATTATTAGTTCAAGGTTAGAGTAAGGATTATAATTAGGCATGTGTTTGTGATGGTTAAGGTGAGGGGATGGTTGATGCCGATGAGTGACCTCACTGAGATGAAAGTGCAAGGATGTGTGTGTGTATTTCCATACTGCACGCTGCTTAGTCATTATCTCTGTTGCTAAATGTGAAGCACATTGAATGTCTTTGTTATAAAATGTGCTCTTTGGATAAAGTTGTGATGAATTGATATCAACGTTTTCCCTCAGAGAGACAGGAGATTCTTCATCCGTCCCTTTTCAAAACACGGGAAGGTCACAATTTGCTTATCACCATCGCTGTCATTTGCATCTGCGCTGCCGGACTAAAAATAATGTGAACACAGCCGTGGATTGTCTCATCTGGCTCGTCCAGTCGGGAGGAGGGGGGGGCTCTGCGGCAGCAGATGGAGAGGAAGCAGAGACAAAATAGGGAGTCCGGCGACCAGACGAGGGAATCATACATTCAGTGCAGCGTGAGTATGTGTTGTTTCCAACAGAGAGGCAGGAGGAGAGGGAGGAACCGGGGGGGAGGAGGAAGGGGTGCTTCCTCTTCGCTCTAGGCTGAACTGCTGATGTATCCCAGCAGCCCCAGTCCCATAGCAACAGGAAACCTTGGTATATAAAGGCACATCGCAGGGGGAACCCTCCTAAGTGTCTCTCAGCCGCAGCATGACCAGGACCGAGAGCCTGAGAGTGTGGACTTAACAAAACAATGCCCAGCCTAACCGCCGACTCACTCAACACACAGCGCTTCATCATGGACAAAGATGACAGGAAGAGAAACAAGAACATGTGAGTGAAACTTTGACGAGCCGCAGTTTCCTGCAAACTCGCTTAAATAATGTTGAGGAAGTTTTGATTTTAGTTAAAATTCTTGGCTCCTTGCGTCAAACCTTTAAGATGAAATATCGCAAATGTTACGCGTGCTTGATGAAAACTGTTTAAAGTGAACCCACACAGTTTTTTCCTGATTCCTAACAGATACCCAGCGTGCTTTGACACTTGAAAATAATTTACCAGCAGCAAAACCATCAGGAATTCACTTTATGATGCTTTTCTTATCTCTACACAGTGGAAAAAACTTTATGTGCAGACTCCAGTGCATGTTCTCACACTCGTCCAGCTCGGAGAGGTAAGGAGAACTTATGGAGTGTTTTGCATACATTTCTGTTCTAAAATAGCCGGCCTGCTTCTATCATTTCCATCTATGGCATCATGGAAGGATTCAAATGAACTACAGACACCATGTTTGCTTTGGCACCGCATGCACGCACACACCAACATGTCTCTTTATTTTTTTTGGGTACATATTTGATAAGCACATCCGCTATGCTTTTCTTGATTAGGCTGCTCTCTGTGTCCTCGCAGCCTCTGCAGCTCTCCCAGCTTTATTTCACCCAAATTTGATTCTGGTTGAGTAATCCCACTTGCATTCTCTCCCAGCAGGCTAAGTTTAGAAGATACCCAACAATGGTCACAGTCACTGGAAAGGCTTCTGGAGTCTAAATGTAGGTTGTATTTTCACCCACGAGGACGAGAATACTGCAAGAACAGTGAATTATGTCTGTGAGAATTTGAGTTTTAAGGGGGGTTTTTTTAAATTAAAAAAAATAAATAAATCTTTCATTCGTCTTTCTTCAGATGGACTGGCCACCTTTCGTAACTTCCTCAAATCTGAATACAGCGATGAGAATATTGAGTTCTGGCTCACCTGTGAGGACTACAAGAAGATCAAGTCTTCGTTCAGAATGTCCTCACGAGCCAAGAAGATTTATGAGCAGTTCATCAAAGCAGAATCTCCTAAAGAGGTAAAGACATTCATTCACACACACACACACACACACACACACACACTCTGCTATAAAATCTTTGTGTATGATTTTATCAGACTGAATATCACAGTGCCTACTCAGATCTCTCGCTCTTGGCTGAGTTGCCCTCATTCCTCTCCATGTGCCTCATTCCAGATCAACATTGACTATCACACCCGAGAGCAGATCAAAAGGAACGTCAAGACTCCCACCATGCACTGCTTTGACGACGCTCAGAAGATAGTTTACGGGCTGATGGAGAGAGACTCGTACCCACGGTTCCTCCGCTCCGACATTTATAGAACTCTCCTGGAAAACCTCGCCGCCGATGCCACGAAGGGATGAAAGCACGGTCGCGGGGTGAAAGAGAGAGAAAGAGACAGAACGGACATGAAAACCCATAACTGGAACGTTTGAGCTCCTTCCAGAGGAAGGACTGACAACAAAGAAGGAAGGAGAGTCGACCTGCGCGGCACACGGACACGCACAGAGGCCTCGCACTAGCTCCAGAAGCAGATTGTGTCTTATAGTCACCGGCAGGATCCCCCACGCTGAGCACCACAGAAGAGACCCAGCCAGCCTCACCGCCCCGTAGTGCGCACCGTGCACGGGATGATAACGCTTGCGTTCGTAGGCGAACTGAGCACTTTGTGAATGAACCGCACTGTCGGCGGAGCCGCGCGTGAGCTTCGCAGCGGACCTCCTTCGGCCTTCTTTGCAGAGGTGTTTCCTGTGCAGATAAACGATTGAGGATGTGAGACTGTGCAACTGTCGCACTCGATTAGTTGCACGTGTGAGTGTGTTTAGTTGTTAGCATTGAACTGCCACTGACGCACAACGAGCTGTCACAGAAAGAGCTGGCCGATGATTTAAAGACAGAAATAAGGAGCACGACGAATCCACAGAGGAGCTCAGAGTCACATGTCGTCCTGAGTAAAGCAGAAGGCCACGGAGTTCTGCAAGAGGCATTCTGGGATACTTTAAAAGGATATTTTTTCTAGATTGGACTGATGTTTGGAGAGTTTTTTTAGTCTTAGATGCCTGTGGGTGACATTTCTGTGCAGATATTTAAAATCTTTTAAGGTGGCAATATTCAAACAACAAAAGTAAAACTAGTTCTTTTAGAAGCAATTATATTTTTGAATGATAAACAAAACATAATCGTGCACATGTTTGTGTTGACGGTTGTGATTTTACTGAATAAACTATGAGTGGAAATGTAGAAATAGTATCACAATGCATGATGGGATGTTAAAACTCCTCACATACCCTGAGAACAGGTCGTTTGCCTGCTTTCCAGACGATGTTGTTTGAATGTGTTCTTAGCGAGTTTATAGGTAATTAACTTAAAAGTTAAACTTTGTATAATTTATTGTTACAAACTTTGTTGCAGTGCTGACGTGCTTATTCAACTGTTAGTGATTTGAATGACATTAAATTATTTAAATTGCTCACTTTGAAGTAACTTTATTTTTCCTGCTCGTGGATTTTCGCGCCCGCAGCTTTCAGCGCTCGGTGCCGCGATGTCAGCGCCGTGGGTCTGTTTAAAGACGACAGCAGAACACTTGCAGTGAAATGGATCTCAAACACCGCGTTAGAAAAATGATGGGATGTTTGCACAGCGATTGTCTGTTGCATGTTTAAAGCTTTACTCCACCGCATCAGGATGGAAACACGGAGGCTGTGCCAAGTTCTTGTCGGCGGAACAGTTATCTTCACTGTTGTGGAGAAGCAGGCCAGACTTTACACTCTATCCTATAAGTGACAGAATATACATGTGTATGTTTTTAATGCTCTCTCATATTCGAACATTATCAGCCTTTGGATTAATAAAACAGATTCTTTTGAAAAGTAAAAGCAGTAAATAAGATTATGAGAATACCAAAAGGAGCATTGACTCATTGAGTCGCAATTTCTGTTTTCAAACTTTACAGGAAGTTCCATCAAAGCAAAAGATTTATCCTCGTGATATCTGCAGTTTCCTGTTATTCTCTTTTTTTTAATCACTGAAAAGCACCTGAGGAGCTGGAAAGAGCTTTGAGTGATATGTGCCGTTTAAAAACAGGAAGGCCCAGACTTCCAGTTTCTTATGAAATCAGTCATTGTGAGAAATTATATTTTCTCTGAAGTGAAGCCACACTGCACTTATTCAACAGATGTTTCTCCACAGCCTGCGAGCCGTCAGTCATTCTGGAATATGATGCAATTTAAACACATGACAAACAGGTGACCAGTGCTCTGTGGCACCGACGTGCTTCATAACAACGTCAGTAACCTTGTCTGTCTACATTTAATACAATCTACTGAGAACGATTCTCCTCCACCGGGCAAATACTGACCCATTGTGCATGGTTTGGAAGCTAAAGGGAGTTAGTCAGCTCTGAAACATCATCCATTTTTCTTCCTGAAATAAATGATGACAGTAAAAAATATGTCAATGTGTCGCTCTCTGCCTGCTGCTTCTAAATGTCTGAGTTGGTGTTAGTTGGTTTCACACAGACGTCCGATTTGGTTTTGTGGCTTTCAGGCAGAAGGTAAAGGATATGAAAGGGGGACGGAACACACGATCAGAAGGTTTTAAATGCAGCAGCTGAAGCTTCTTTTAGCCGTTTCTGAATAGCATCTGTGTTAAATGTGCGTTTTGAGCATCAGCACACAAAAACCATTATTGTCAAATATTCTTCAAAGATCGAACTGTTAGTTTTAGAATTTTTTCCCATTCCAAAGAATGTAATCCGTATTAGTTTGCATTGAATTCCAGGTGTGACATCGCTGCCCCGTGCTTCCAATGAGTGTGTTTATGTGACATGTTACGCTGAGCCCCCGAGTAATCCCAACGCTGTGAGATTCAAACTGCCCAAATAAACAGCCAAAGATGAAGTTAGTAACAGTCCACGCGAAATGTTGGTGTCTGTGTTTCATTCCTTATTACAGAACAATAAACAGTCAGCAAGAACAACCCAGCGAGAGTAGAGCTGGATGTTTGTTTTAAAGTGCCTGACGGGCTAACAGCTGCATTATCGGTCACTTGCAACGTTGTACAAAAGCCAACGTGGAATCTGCAGATGCACTGAGATGATCTCAGAATCTACATCTCACCTGTGCCCTTCAAATGCAGGTAGGACTGCCCAGTGCATTCTGGGATAGATCTGCAGGAGATCTGCAGAAAGGTTGTGGAAAATTGTGGTCACACTGTGCAAAAGAGTTTGTAAAAGATTTACTGGAGCACAGATAACACGACGTGCAGAGACAAATAAAAGACAACACCTTAAAGTCTTTGTCGAGCCAAAATGTTGCAATGTTTGATTACAGCTGTCAGCTGCACATTTGAGTGCAACTCTTGGTGGGGTGGAGCCTCATGTTTTGACATGAACCGGTCCTGATATGTTTTTTAAACTCTCAATTATGCACAGGGGCTGTGGATTGTTAAATGTCAGCTTCCGTAAAAAGGGAGGGAGGGAGGGTGGGTGTGTGTGTGTGTGTCTGTCTGTATGCACACAGTGTTCAGTACAAACACACACAGGTTTGGAATTTAAATGTTTGGGTAGTGATGCCCCAGTTCTCCAGTTGAGCAGGAAACTAGGACAAGCCTGTGTCCTGGAAAGAAACAAAACAACTGGTGTTGTTCAATGTGTTCACGTTCCTTTACTTTGTTCTTAGCTGTTTACTTTTCACTCACCATCACAATCTATTTTCTAATAATATTTGATCTTCATTTTACATTTCTCCAAAAGCTATAAAAACAAAGTGAGAGGATGAGGAGTGAGGATGAAGAGTATGGCAGGTCGTCAGTGTATCACAGGGCCGATACACGGAGACAAATCATTTACATTCACGTCTGTGGTCGGTGTAGAGTCTCCGATATTATTATTATTATTATATTTAAAGCTTAGTCTGAAAATGCTACTGCCACATACGCTACTAATAGAAGTTAAAGTTCAGTTCAATGATACCTCTACTACACAGGTAGTAGTATACACAGCAAGATATGAAAAAGGCGACTGACTGATTCTCTTTCACCTCCATAATTTGCTCAATTAGCACATTCACCCATGTGTCATGTTTCCATTACTGCCGGAGCCAGAGCCGATAATAACACGCGACCTCTGCAGAGTTATTTGACTGAGGAGTGAATACCGAATGTGTCCAATCCCACTGCAGTCAAACTCTTGACGTCAGCAGGTATTAGTGGGTTTTTTAACAGTTGAAAAGAGGCTTAATACTACTAACTACTACAACAGTCTTCATCGTACCCATGTTGTGGACAGGAAAGACAAAGGTACGGATGATGCTATGATCAAACTGTTCATCCGTGTAGCAGTTCATAAGTTGACTTGGTGGCTCTAAAGTTTCCACTTCATGCTATTTAAATTTGCTTTAGTGTATTTATCACTTCCAGAAGCAGGTGTCTGCCAGCCTGCGGTACTTCCAGTCGCGGCAGTAAAATTGATTTAGTATCGAACCTACAGCTGCTTCTTTAAAGACGTCTGCAGAGACCACTGAGGAGCGGCAGAGTTTTCCACAGTGTCTTGAGTCGTGACTTGAAATACACGATCATCCTTACAACCAATCAGGCCCGGTCCGTGGACTTAAATGACCTGCTTGGTTATACAAGCTAGAAGTAAACTGGTGCCCGACTATGCAATGAATCCAGAATTTAGGACGCCATCGTTAACAGTATAGGATGGGAGAGGTGTGGGGCGTCTTGCTGGATCCAGTCCGCTTGGCACTTGGCGACCATTTCTGATATTTGAAATAAACAATCCTTGAATGTGAAGGCAAAGTAGATGTAAGAGGTTTAATCCGATCGTGATTCAGGAATCAGTTGTGTCAGTGTCCACCTGAGCAGGTAAACTGCCTTCATACGTCTCCGCACAGACTGTACGAAGGCTTGATTCTGACCTGAGACGTGTGGGAGGGACGGAGCTGTTTAAGAATAGAATTGGTCCATTAACACGAGAGACAAAAGAAGAGGAGGAACGTTTTGACGTCACCCTCCTTCATGGCACAAATCCCAGAGGAGGATAATGATGACGTGACAGTGAAGGTGTCACAGGTGCGTGAAGACACACAAATCACAGTCATGAGGCGTCGATTTGCATGTCTGACCGTACGAGTTACATAAGAAGAGCATGAGACGATTCTATGAGTTACATCTAGAAAAGCAATCATTTCCCAAATTGGCAGCTCGTTCCTTTAACTGCATCATAATTAATGAGCGATATAAGACGTGTTGAAGATGCTGCACCGATCACAGGATTCTCCAGCATCACCTGACTTCACCTATGTGGGTATTAACAGTGCCGACCTTGTTTTCGTCGTAAGGAGAATATTAACGAAGGGCGCATTTCTGTGTTTGCTTTTCTTGTATTTTATTGGTGTCTATAAATAAATGTCACTGGTTTTGGCTGCACCAGAGCAATATAATGTTCTGCTCTACTTCTATTATTTCTCCCAGTGGTCCAGTGAAGTTTATCGGCTGCTGCCACTGGGATTTTTATCACAGTGAGAATGAAACAAATACATAAATATGTTTATGGACTGTGACTGTAGACGGTGTGTAAAGATGGACGATGCGTCTCCACTTCCTCGTGTTGTGCCAAATTGACCTTTAGACCTTTGCTGCAGCCAGCCACCAGGGGGTGATCAAGATGTTTTGGCTTCACTTTTAGGGGGCTGTCATGTCGGCCATCTTTATAAACAGTCTATAGCTGTGTCTCATAAAAAAGATCCTTGAGCAAAGCTTTCCCAGGAGTCACTGTGCGCTAAAGACGAAGCTCACAGGCTAGTTTTGCGTAAGTAGCTGACAATGAAATAGCCAAGAGGAAATCCTGCGTACACCAGACCATCAGATTTCAACTCGGCCTTCGAAAACCAAAAAGAAAGGAAAACTCAGTCTTTACGTTAGCAGGGTGAGAGGAGGCTGGAAACAAGTTGTTGAAGTTCACCTCGGCCCCTAATTGGGTCGACATGCCTCGGAAACAAAAGGCAGATATGTTCAGATCCTGCTGTGACACCAACACAACAAAACATGTCTCCGTCACCATGGAGACGCTGTGTTGCCATCCCTGGAGCATTGCCCTGGGGCAGGAAGGCCGTACCGACAGTTCCTGTCCGAACCTGCCCGACACTGAAAGATACAGGAAAGGCAGGTCACAGTCGAACCACAACAGCAACCAGTGCTGGTGTCAGTGTATATGTACACAGGAGGAGGCCAGAAGGAAATAACACTCAGTCATTAAGGTAATAATATTAACAATGACCACTGGAAAGACACCCCCCCCCTCTGGACGATCAGCAGTTGACACACAACAGACGTTATCCTCAGGAAGACGCAGGTGGAATTCTCCGCTGGGTTCATCGACACTGACAAAGAGACATTTGCTTGATGTCAACTTCACACTCGTGTAGGAAATGAATGCACTTCACTGTTTTATACCAACAGGAAGTAAAATGGACAAAGGCAAGACAAATAAAAAGAGGAAACCGACCTCAAACACTTCGCTTCAAAGACCCCCCACTATCGATTCTGTTTTTTTTTTTTTTTTATATTTTCATCAAATTCCACACGGAAACAACAAAGTCAATCAAACAGACTCTTGTTATTATGAGCATGCACTATTCTAAAACTACTTCAAACATGCTACGAGTTGAATCATGAAAGAGGGACGCATCAGTTATTCCTTCTATGACGCTGCAGCAACAGTGTCGTGAAGCACGAGTTGAAAATTATTAGAATTTTCCCCTTGATGGAAACAGAGGGATCCCGTTCAGTCACGTATGTCACGTATGTCACGTATGTCACGTTAGCTCCTCGACTGAAGGTGAGACCTTTCTCAGTGGAAAATCAGGTTTGGGGAAAATTTAAGTTGTCATCGGTCCACATGTTCTATTTTTAATTTCATTCCACTCACTGATTGTTTTGGACTGCGTGCACGTGCAGACAGAAGTAGTTCATGTTGGTGTTTTCTACTATATATATATTTATATAAATATACACAGTATATGCATACACTGTGTTTTGATTCTGCCAACCTTCCACAAGCAGAATGTCCACATCTTATGTTGTGCTGGCTTCTTTTAGCAGCTTTGATCGCGCTGCAGCAGACGAAGGCCGAGAGGAAAATCAATGCGTCTGGGATTTGCACTAAAAAATCAGTTTTACTATTATTTACTTGAATGCAGTCTGGCACTCTGAACATTTTATTTATCGTTTTCATTAAAAAGGGGAATTGTTTGATAATTGGAATGATGTGGTGCATGTCCACTCTGCCTGGGGCTCCTGTCGAAATCCATCTGCATAGTTAAACTACCAGAAATTGGTTCCTTTCACATATGAAGAACAGCAGGAAAACGTCCACTGCACTCGGGCTGTGAAGAGCTGCAGGAGGCCGGACGTGACGTAGAAATCCTGCTGCGGACATCAAGTGTTTTTGTTTAACGCACATAAACAACCTTTATCGTCAAAAGTTCTCAAATCTCATTGTGTTTCCAAGCGGACCTCTTCGTCGGTGTGTCCGTGTGCGTGGCTCCTCTCTTTCATCCTGAGATATTTGTATTCTTCCAGTTTCTCGTCCGTTAGAAACATCAACACTCGCTTCTTTACGAAGGGGACGTTGGGGAAATTCCCTGAAAATATTTCATACATTCGCATTCTCACGTACAACCCCCCCGATATCAAGCGAATGTCTTGACGTTCTGTGCACGTCTGAAAGCGGCTTATGATGCCGTGCGTACTTTCCTTCAATCACGTGAAGCTTTGTTCTAAGTTTAGGCTCTTGGTCTTTGGGTGGAGCAAGAGGTGAAGAGTTCAGCCGAATACCAAAAACTTCCTAAACACAAGAAAAGGACAAACTCTGCGAGCCAGTGCTGGGAAACACCTCCTGCGTGAAGACAGACCTCGTGTCTTAGTGGAAACTTGGCTCTGTTCTCCGTCCACTTCTAAACAGACAGCTGCTTACACACAGTCTGCACATCATAATAAACACACGAGGCCAACGCCGTGTTTTCACCCAACAGATCTCCAACTGGTTGCACACAGGGAGGGCGGCCGCTGATAATCACAACACAGCAGGTGACGCAGATGCATTAAAGCATCGATAACACGGAACAAAATGTTTTTATTCTTTATATGTGCGTGTCCCATCGCCAAAAAAAATCTCTTTTAGAGCTTCTGGGAAATTACGTTGATGTCCACCGATTGTTACTGGAATAAAAACTCCACTGTGCTTAAACGGTGACATTCACAAGCAGTGTTTTCAACGTTATGGTTTTTAGATGACATACTTCCCTCAACAAAGCTTGCACTCACGTACGTGTTGCATGCCTTTTTACATTTACTGAAAATTGACTTTTTATTAAAGATGCTGAATTCATCCTCGAGTCAGACTGTGTCCTCGTGTTCACTTTGTCCTCACAGACAAGTTGCACCCGTGATAACAGAATGAGAAACATTTTCTTCTGGTCTGCAGCTTTGCATGCGAACTATGACCGAATGGAAACACGACAATGACGGTGCCAGTTGGTGAAGGTGGTGTGGGTTACTCACAGCGTGACAGATGAATCCAGACCTGCAGGTTTAGCTGAATAATGATTACGCATTTCAGTCAACCTCTGTTCTGCAGTCGTAAAAAAAAAAAAATGAAAACAATGTGAGTATTGTTGGGACAAGAATAGCCTGCATGACATCCGGCACGTTTACTAAAACAGGTCACCTGAACTACTCACTGTCAACTCATTGAAGAATAAAACTTAGATAGATGGATCAGCTGACGTTTAGTTTTCATATGAAAGATGCTTTTATCCATCTCCTCTACATCAGTGGTTAAAACTTAGCTGACACATTCCTCACATATCCTGGGTCACATGCAGTAAAGTACTGATTAACTCGTTGTGCAGCTCGAAGACTCTTTGTTTAGTTTTGGATTTTCTAGACCACAAATCTCATTCTCACTGGATCCACCTCCATCAGCAGATTATTGAAAAACAGCAAGAAGCCAAGTGACTGAGCTGAGTTTGTCTGTGGAGTTCTTCGTCCTCCAGATGTGCAAAAACATCTTCAACCTTCAAACGCAGCCAAGACTCGTACCCTTGATTGGTTCACAGCTATTGTCCAGGTTGGTGGACTGAATCTCAACGAGAGCCGACTGGACTTTCACTTGCGTCAGCTATAAAGTTTATAAGCTGTAATCAGCTGCGTCATTTCTCCCAGAGCAGAACCTGGTTTCCTCGGCGGCCTTGATATCCTGGAAACTTCCACTGCTGCTGCAGCGTCCTCCGGCCTCCCCCCAATGGCGCTGCAGCTTTTGGTGCTGTTGACTTTAATAACATCTTCTGTTCGTGCATATGTTTGTTGAAGGGATCAGTTCTCCTGGCAGCACCTCATCGCTGACCCTCCGAGAGCTTATCCGCTAAATCTGACTGCGTAACCCTTTTGCTATAAATGGTCAATTTCTTCGCTGAAGCGCCTCTAACAGACTGACGCTCATTTCCAGACAAGCAGTCTTCACCGTTTTCTGAAACCTGCTCCTTTAATTCTCTTAAAACACGTCAAAACGAGACCAAATGTCTAAAATGTTTCACCTCCCGGCAGATTTAACTCTATCTTTGTGTTTTTTCGTTCTGTAAATATGAGAGGAATGAACAAGCAGCGTCCTGTTGAGGTCATGGTACAAAAGCATCGTCATTATCTTTGCTCCGACCTGTTATATCTTGACGAGCCATCGTGGCACAGGTAACGCTCCACGCCCAGTGACTAACCCATGAAATATGCACCGCTCATCAGTCGTGTTGCGTAGCGACAATGAATCAATTGTGCATCAGAAGTGGTCACAAGTGAGGAACGGGGCCGTTTTATGACATGACATGCTGGGAACCTTATTTTCCTCAAGGTGAGACACCTTATTCTGAAATGAGGTGCAAAAGTAGAAGTGTGAATGTTTCAGATGTTTGTGGATGTGTCTGGATACGAATCACAGAGCAGCTGCAACTTGGCAAAAATGTTCTCAAGGGGAAAAAAAAAAGTTGTGTTAGTTCCTGACGGGTTTTTTTTTTGGTGAGGAATCAGTTGAGTCCACCATGCACGTCACATCTTGACCTTACGCTTGGACATGGAAGACTACAGGATCGTGAGGGAGGGAATGTTTATGCAGCCTTAGCCTATCATTGCATCTGGGCCTGAGAGTCATACCAGGGAGAAGTCTTTGTTTACACGGCCCCGAGCCAATCGCCTTAAAGACCTGTCATTCCAGTCCCCGCCTCCCTCCCATCACACCCCAGAGAGAAGCTATAAAGCCGCCTGACAAGTCAAGAGGGAGAAGAGGAGGATATTGAACCATGAGAGAGAACCTTGTCAGTGTGTCATCCCGAAACATGGCGTTCACAGACTGTCTGACACCCACTGACGTGTTCCCAGAGGGGATGGGGCTAAAGTAAGTCCGTCTGGAGATCGATGAGGAAGTTCCTGGTCACGATGAGACACGACTGAGACTTTATGCTGACACAACCCACTGACCGGTTATTGTCTTTTTCTTTTGCAGGAGGAAAAACTGGAGAAACAGAATACGAGTTCTCCTGAAGACAAACTCTTCACACTCAGTTTTACACCTGGTGAAACACAGACCCTACAGGTACGGCTCTACCTTGTTCTGAGGATTCATGTGATATGATTCCACGATGTGTGCATTCATGTTGCTACACGTTTTAGTTTGTGACTGAATTGAATCTCAATTTTCTTGTGGTTCACATTTTGCAGAATCTTAAATTTCTTTTTACTTTGGTTTTATTCAGATCTATTTTTTTTAATTTTAAATCTATTTCATCTTTAAATTGTTGGATAAATGAAACCTAACTAACCTTTATGATTTTATGTTAAATAAATATTTATCTATAGCATGGACATAAAATCTGATTTTAAAGTATGCACAGAATAATTTGCAATAGTTCGTCTCAACCACAAAAATCAACTTTAGGCGGTTTCTTCTGCAAAAACGATCTCTTACACAACCTCTGTTCTCTCCCCTCAGGCCGAGCACTGATGACGTGAACCAATGGGCGCAGTCACTCGACAAACTACTCAGTCATAAATGTAAGTGTCGCTCTCTGCGTCTCTGCTTCACGATTACATAACGGCATAAAGGTCACACGGTCAGCTGCTGAACCAACGGGGTTTATTGGCATCAATAAAACACGCAGCGCTGACTCCACCTCACATTAACGGATCACCACCACAGAGATGTGTTTCCACGTCTTTAACACTTCCGTCTCTCTCCCTCCGCAGACGGGAAAACGGCCTTTTGCATCTTCCTGAAGTCTGAGTTCTGCGAAGAGAACATTGAGTTTTGGACGGCCTGCGAAGAATTCAGGACGCTCACGTCGCACAAAGAGCTGGTGTCCAAGGCCAACAGCATTTACGAGGAGTTCATTAAAAGCGAAGCTCCCAAAGAGGTAACAGCAAACAGATGCCTTCGTTTGTTCTTTACATGCTCTTCATTAAATCTGGACGTCAGAGCCTCACTCTGGATGTTTCTCTCTTCAGATAAACCTGGATTTCCACACAAAGAACAACATCATCCAGAGCCTAGATGATCCAACAGTGACCAGCTTCCTGGCAGCTCAGAGGAAAGTCTACAGTCTGATGGAGAACAACTCCTACCCGAGGTTCATCCACTCCGAACTCTACAAAGAACTGTGCTCCAGGGAACAGGCTGAGCACATCAGGTCTTAGTCAAACTGATCGCCCGCTCCTGCAGCCGTCTGTTTACCACTGCGACTGTGTGATCAGGCCCCTGACGATGGCTCCGCCTCAGGATAATAGACCCGAATGCAAATCCTGATAATAAACATTAACGGCGAGTGTGGAAAATGTGAAACTGAAGCCGTTCCCAGGCCGTCCTGCTGGAAGCGCTTGGCGGTGACGATGAGGCCGGATGCTCTATGACGCTGCAGGCACCACACCGCATTTCAACCAGATGGGATTAAAGTTACGTTTTTTTCCCCTCGCTGGTCCATTACCTGCACTTTCCTCTCGCTATGATGTTACGAGTTTGATATTTGATATCGAGAAAATGCCGTCGTAGAGACGCCGGTTTCACAGAGCGAGAGGAGTCGATGCTGCGGGGACGTCCTGTGTGACGCTGTGTGTCCTCGCTCAGGTGGATTTACATCCGTTTACACATTTTACTTTACTTAACATTTGCAATTTTTTTTTTTACTGAGGACTGATTGAGCCTGATGTGACTGATGTTTCTGACAATGTTATTTATTGTAAATATTGTAATATTATATTTGTGATACTGAAAGTTCAGAGCAGCTGGAGAAATAAACTTTGTTCTTCAGAGCTGAAACTATCCCTCGATTCTTTTATTTCCCAACCGAATGAAAAAATGTTTCACTGTGAAACTTTGGAAATATTGTGTTTAACAAAACCACATCTCAGTTTATTTAGCAAATTGTTGCTTGATTTCATCAAAGCAACATTATTTACACATTTATTATTTAAACAAATATGAACCAACGCTAAATGTCATCGACTGTTAACTGACTTTTTGGTCAATGAGAAAAAAGTTGAGAACACAAAATAAACTTTGAAATACAGTGAACATACCGTGGCTTATCTACAGATATCTCAGAGGTGGAGAGCTGTCATATTTAAATCAAATATTAAGTCTCGTTGTCATAGTTTTTTTTGTCTCTGCCACCGAGAGAAGTATATTTGTTATCGGACGCTAAATGTGTGTTAGTCTGTAACATGGATTTATTTTGAAAAAGCTGCCTGCTCATTATGAAGCAGATCAGAGACAAAACAAGGACGACAGCTGTGTTAAATATTTGTGGGCACATACTTTCACACATTAAAGTATTCATTTAATTAATAAATTAATCCAATGTAGAAAAAAAAAAAAAGTTATAATTGCAGCAGCTTTAAACATAAGCCAGTAAAATGCCTGATGTCTTTTTAAAGACAGTGTCAACATCAGCGACTGCTCCTCAGATGAATGAAAAATACCAGGGAGGTCTTTTTTTTTTTTTTAATGTGTAAAAATACCATGTCACGATGACATTGTCATTTCTATCACAAGTGACTTACTAATTTAAATAAGCTGAATATTGTGTTTCTAATCTCACTGGTTGCAGACACCCCTCTAAATATTTTTGATATGAGACTTTATAAGACCGGGATTCATCTTCTGAACTTCAGAAGCGTTATATTCTCTCTCTCTCTCCTTTAGCTTGTGGAGAGGTATTTTTGTTGATCTTGACCTTTGGCCAATAAAGATCCAAAAGGTCAAGTTTTGGAAAAATCCATCCGAAAAGAAGAAAGTGTATTTTCCAAATGTTTACCGACTCTGTCCAGACTGGAAGTGGTTTTGGACGACGAGCTCTTTGAGTGTTTGCTTTAAGAAAAAGAGCTCAGGCCCACTCACAGCACATACTGTGCTCTGACATACTTCCAGAGACAATGTGCCGGACGTTTCACAACAACATTCCTCTTTTCACAGCTGACCGGTCACGTCATCGCAGCTGCGTTTCCATACTGTAACAATGGCCCCGGCTCTTAAAGCTGCAAGTGAGCGAACGGCGTGACTGACAGCAGAGGGAGTCGTCCTCTGACTGCGCTGCGTGTGCCCTCTGATTCCAGCCCTGAACTCACAGTGGAGGCTGACGGTGTCCAGACGTCTGCACCTTGTTCCTAACGAGCCGACAGCTCCCGCTCGCTGCTCAGACCTGCAGCTCCACAGAACCACGTGCTCTGCAGGTCTGCAGCTCAGAGTAGATCTGTGATCTGGACAGGAATGATTCAAACCCCAAGTTTAAGACAAGCGAGCAGCTTTGTAATTTGTTGCAGGCATTCACGTCCCCCTCAGGTTGAATCGTAATAACTTTGGTGAAGCCTTAACTTCTCATATTGATCCATTTTCATGTCTAAATTTCACTTTGTCTATTCATCCGCAAAACTTATGACAATATAAAGCTGAGTTTAGGGTTTAAAGGCAATAAGCAACACGTAGCATGCTACCAATGCTGAGATAGTGTCCATGGTAGTATGCTAGGATTGTTTATGTGATCATGTTACCGAGCTATAACAAAATACTGAGCATGGTGCTCATTAAACATAATGGTCTCATTAGTTTTAATACAGTAAAACAGCTCGTGGGCCGAAGAAGCATTTTCACTTTCCTTTTATTTCTGTTAAGAATTTAACATCTACTGTTGACGGAGAGATGATTTGTCTTTAAATGGCCTCAGCCAAGGTTTCTTCTGTTCAGTCTTCTGCTCATATTTTCCTAACACTTCTTATAACAAGCTACTAATCGTCTTTGTCTACAAAATATTTGCTGGCTCCACTTTCTAGACGCGACCATTATACAAAAAGAGAAAAGTAGCTTCATTAAACGCCTCCAAGTTTCCGAGTTCTTTTCCTGAAGTATTTTTTTTTCTCCCAATAAGCACTAACATAACATTTGTTTATTGAACCTCCGATGCAAATGTTATTTTTCAAAGCCCGGCCCTCGTCCGAGTTTGGAACCAGTGAATTTAATGGGGCCTCCACAGGCCTTTGAAACCCTGAATGTGATAATACGCTGGACAAATAAACTTTCCATGACCCTGAAGTAGGCCACACACATATATAACACACATTCCATTACGCAATCCAATACATTCTACAGTAAGTCGAGTGACATCAGTCAAACACAAAAGGAGCGAGTGAAGATCTTTGTGAAGCACCAAAGCTTTTTGTTTGCTCGCCGGCGTGGCCTGACAGCAGATAACACACATAGCGTTCTCACTGTGAACTGGTAGTAAAACCTGCGCCTTTCCATTTGTTGCTATGAAGCAGCTTGGAAACATGCGACTGGGACCTGATCCAACGAGTACTTAAGGTGTGTATGTAAACACCGGAGCCCAAAATAGAAAAAGGGCCTCGTTCTCTAGTGGGTGTGGCGACCGCAGATGCGTCAGACTACGCAGGCCTGAGGACACAGCGTGGCCCATAAGTCAGACAAGTATGGCTTCATTACACAGTGCAGGCAAGAAGTCGATTTACAGGACAAATCACAGAGGCCACTTCAGACTCCCACGTCTACAACATCAACACACACCGCTACTGGAGGCTCTCCAACGACCACACAAGTCACCACATTTGATTCTGCCCTTTCTTAATGATACACAAGGACTTGACAGAGTGTCAGCGGGCCCTCGTCAGGTCACGTGGTCTCACACACAGATCTCAATGTGAGATTGTCGATTGATTTATAATGTTAAATTAAAGGATATCAGATTTGTGTCATGTACTGTAAACAGTGCTCATCATTCCTCTACTTCACCAGCAGGTGGTGGCAAAGATCCACCGATAACTTCCGACAACTGAGTGGATTTGTCTGTTCACTGCAAAACATTTTTTTAAAAATTTTGTTTTGGAATTCCATCAACGAAAGCAAAACCATTCATAAACACCTACACATTTTATTATGAAAATAAGACACGACATGATTTGAGCACATCTTTCCTTCTATCATGCAATAGAGCTGATGCGACACACACGGAGACAAGATTGTTGCCGAAAGTCTTTCTGCTGCACCTGCAGTACGGTTCTTCATGTCTGTGAGCTTCACAGGACGCCACAGTGAGGAAGTGCCGCGGAACACCCACGGTCGTTAACAAGAATATGACAAATGAACAGTATCAGCATGTGGCTCACTGATGGAAGAGTGACTGTGGGGTTCTGGATGTGTCTGTGTGTGTAACCGGAGGCTTCTCTGTTGAGTCCTTGCTCACTTGGCCTCCTGAGCTTTTTTGGCGCTCTGCTTCTCCTTCGCCTGGGGAGACAGACAGAGACATTTTCATCAGTATTGTTTATTTAAACTGAAAACAGCAAACGATACAGAATCTGAACATCATTTGGAAACGTATTACTGAGGCTCCTTAACCCATTTGGACCTGATGCTACATAGGAATGTAAACACCTTTAAAACCCAGCGGGACATTTGTGTGCTTCTTCGTTTAGAGGCGAAGAAGACTGCGTTTTCTATTGAGTCATCATTTTTAAGACGTATGACGAATGAAATACAATTTTAAAGTTATTCAATGAAATATTTGTGGGAAATGTAGTTTGTTCTTTTAAGTAGATAAGCAGTGTAACATTGATGAGAACAATGATGAATATAACATTTAAGAACATTCAGACCCAGCACAGCCATGAGCTGCAGGATGTTATCTGTGTGACACATTATGTCTGACCTCTAGTGGACAGTATAAACACTGCAGCTCTGGTTTTCCAAACATCTTACATCGGTTTCATTGTGTTTGTAAGTCTTTCAAGGTTTACAGGAAGGAAAGATCATTTATTAAGCCTTTCATTATTTGTCCTTGAATGTCTTTTTAAAAAAAAAAATACAGGTTGGAAGACATTAAAGATATTAGAAATGATGTGCGTCTCATAAAGAGAAGGAGAAATAACTGTGTTACAAAATGTCAAGGTGCTTTCTTTAAACCTTCCCAGAGACTGTTGCACAAAATGAATGTACCTTCTCCACCAGGGGTATTAACTGCTGGTACTCTGCCAGCGTCTTCAGAAGCTCCATGATGAAAGGAAGGTAGTTGTGCTTCCGTCGAATGTTTTCAATCTGTAAGGACGCAGACAGACAGAAGAAGTGAAGGAAACAAAAAAACACAGCGGCAAAAACAGTCCATGAATTTATAATGTGCTCGTTTATTAAGAGGCCAGGGGAAAACTGTACTGCCGTGTAATGGAGTGCATCTCCCTCTACTTCTACCACAATGAACGTGAAATACAGAATGTAATTGTAGGGAATGTGTTGCTGAGGTGAAGCCCACCTTATATCTTTTAAGTTTCTGATTTTCCTCTTCAATAAGGAGCTGGTACTTGGCGATCTCTGACTGGATGGAGCTAAGAAACGTGCTGCTCTGGTCCGTATCCATCGGTTCGTCCTGGAAACAGAGGGGGAAAAAGGTTTCTATACATACAGGACATATCCTGACTAGTGGGAACAGAGGGGGAGGGGGGTAAAAATAATCAGCGCTCTGAAAATGCTCATGTTGGTTAAACTCAAACCACTCACATAATCCCACTATTCATTTTGGCAAATTGGTGTTAAATGAGTGTTGAACTACTTCAGCAAAGTGAGCACGCAACATTTTTAAATATTGAAGTCCTCAAATTCAGATGATTGGATTTTAGACTTTTTAAGACCCTGCAGAAACCCTGATGCACGTCTCACACTTGAGTTAATCACATTTATTTCTTTAAAACACCACCATCTGAGAATTGGTTTCTACTGACCTCCAGTGGGTGAAGGGTTAACTCTGCAGGTGTAATGTATTTAGGGCGTGTATGTGGTCAGCACTAAGGTGTGATGTGCAACAGGTGTAACCGAACATTCGGTCAACACCCAGTAATGATGACTCTTATTTTCTACCACAGCAAAGGGTGGTGTTAATCTTCAACCTCCCTCTTGCACAACACATTTTTCTGAATGTATAAAACTGTGCGTCTTCTTCCACACGTATTCTACTAGTTTTCATTCAGTGGAGATCAATACTGTTAGGTAAGGTAAAATATACTTTCTTGTACCAAATCCAAACTTGTCTTGGTCTCCAAGCCACTGCATCGCATAGCATATAGCACAAAAGAGCACATGAATATAAATACATCAAATATTGAAGCTCCTACAAAAGAAAACCTGCTCCAAATGTCAAGTGTGGGCATCTGAACGGAATGAGAGACAGTCCTCCTACTAGAGTGCAGCTCTGGTCCGATCCCAAAAACTAACGGACCTGAGCCTGATGCAGTTAACGTAGCTCACAGTGTAAACCTTGTTAAAGACTTCCTCCACCAAGAATAACCCAGGTCATTTTCTAAATGTTGCATCTCAGGACAGGAAAGCATCATTACACCAGTTTTTTATCAAAACTACACAAGCTGTGACCAAAACATCCTGTGATGTGATTTGACAAACATGACAGGTGAGTGCACACAGCCACCATTTTCTTCTTACCTAAAGCAAACCACAGCTACCGTCTCTAACGTTTTGAAAGCTGACAAGTGATGTATTTCAAATGTGGGCTACCACGGAAAAAGCAAATATATAATAAATGATTCTTTGTCATTTCTCGTGCTGCCACTCACCTCAGTGAGCTGAGTCTGGAGCTCTGCGATCTTCCTCTCGTATATCATCTTTCTGTCTGACACAATGGCCATTAGGTTGAATCGGATCTCTCCCTCACTGTATCTGGAGAGGAAAACAACCAGCATTATTCAGCGAGAACAGAATGACACACAGAAAACCAGGGAGGTATTCAGCAGGAAGACAAACAAGTATTTAGACTGAATGTACAAATGTCTCAATGATACAGAATAAGTCACTGCATGTGGCTGCAGAGGGCGCTGTTGCTCACTTAACGTTACATGGCGTTGCTTGATCCCTGTGCACTTGGTTAATCTAAAAATGTTCTGCATACACAAAGATAATTACTTCTGTATTCTTTTCTCAATCACTGGGCGAACTGCGCTGATCCAATCATCCTGGGTGCATGCACCTGGAGAAACACAGACAGGAATAGATTAAGCTTCAGGAGTCCGTTTATACATTTACTGCCAGCACACACTGTTCATCATCATAAAAACAGGCAGTTTTATGGGAGATTGACCGTGGCCAACAGGCCCAATATTCAGCAGTGCACTGGGGGGCCTCACACAGAGCGACTTTAAACATCAAACTGCCACTTCTGGAGCTGAAACCTGAAACAAATGTCATTGTTTTGCTGCTTACCCAAGTCAATTGGTCCCTCTCGAAGTCCGTCCAACTCGTATAGTCGGCCGTTTACAGGAACGTAGCTCACAAAGTGAAAGGCGTCCTCGTCCTTTGCTGACGACTTTGCATCAAATTCAAACATTTGCTGTCTGCAAAAATACAAAAGTACTGAAGTGGGAATAATTTCTGGTCTCGCATGTCCGTAAAAAGTGTGATGTTTTAATTATCAAACGTCATTTATCCTCAATTCTAAATGTTTTGAGAGAATTTTTATAATTGATGAACCAGAACCAAACTGATTTATTGGACAGAAATTGGCTGATGTCGTTATCTGTGTTTGTTTGCCGATATGAAAACGTCTTTTACAGAATTAAACATTTTGAAAATACCTGACCAATAAATTAAATATTAATATTTTAAGTGTAAACTGGTTTGTTTGCTACAAATGGGCCAATCATTTTTCTCCTAGTGAGACTGCGGAGCTAAAAATAACATGAGGCCAATCCAACGTTTCCTCTCCAGCTGGATGTGATATGAACGGGAGCTTACCTGGCAAAGCTGTTGTGAACTTGTCGGATCACTTCAGAGTTGCTGAGAGCCAAACCTTTCATCTGAGGAAAGAGGGAGATGCATGATTTCAATGCTGACTGAATAACCCCTGGCTTAAAAGATGCTGCGGGGTACTGAAACCCTGTACCAAGTAAATTCTACATTCATCAGCATTTCAATTGCAATATAATTACCATTGCTAATTAAAATAAATGACTTAGTTGCTTCTATGCATAGAAATGTATTGATTATATCATAAAACAATTTCAGCCTTTTCTCTTTGTCCCTTGTGAGATGTTAGCATCTTTAAAATAACAAAGTTGTCATGTCTCAGTAGGAATACATTTTAGATAAGTCAGGCTTCATAAATAAGAACAGCCTGGTTCTCCTGAATATTAGTGGGACTGGGACTGAGTCATCGCAGTTTTAAAGGTAAGAGGATAAAACTGTCTGTTATAGACGGAAAGGGAAATGTAGAGAGTTGTGTAATGAGTTTCTCCTCTGAGGGGAAAAGCAGTACAAGTGTTTGTTTGGAAAGAGCGATGAATAATTTATCACTTATTATTTGAATTTGAATGTTGCTGACACTAAACTTCAAATGGGAGGGTTAAAAGATAATGAGAAGCAACAGAAAACAAGCCAAGCCACAGTTTTTTGGACTCAAGACAAAAATACCATGAACATACAGCAGCGTCGAAACTCTGTGAAAACTCTCTGAACTCTGTCAGTGTGTCTCCGAGCAGCATGTCAGGATGGGAACAGTTGAGCAGAACGCTGACAATCGCCTGAGTCGCACACGCATTGTTGATGACCTGGAAATAGACACACACACACACACACACACACATCATACGTTATTGATGCTCTAGGTGAAATTAGAAAAAGAGCACACTTACATAATCAGATTTTGTGGTATACAATTTTACAAGTGCCTCATTTTTATTTTTTTTGCAAATCTGCAGGAGTGAACAAAGTTTTAAATCTAGAAATTGAATGTTTAAGCTCATGTCCATATAAAGAAATATTATGTGATTGTGTGAAAGAGAATGATCATTCCTGGATGAGAAGAAACATCCTCACACTGTGTTTTACTGGTTTCACGTCATAGGGCGAGTTAATGCAGAAGCACGGACATTCATTATCACACTGCGAGATTTGCTCTCAGTATCTCATGTTTTGAAATGACAATACATCTTGTGGAAATCTTCTTGCACACAGCAGATGTCCCACCCTTGGCGGGACTAATAAAAGATCACTTCATCCTGTCTACACTCGCCTGTTTTGCAAAGAAGATGTGGTCGAGTCTTGAGTCCTGGACGATGGATCCTGCTGGCTCTTCACCTGGCTGCCACTTGAACAGGAAAATCAAGCCGTGAACTGGTCTGGAAGATAGAACAGACGGATGTAATGTAATATAATATAATATAAAGTCCTGTCATCAGTGTGTGGTGGGGGTGGGGGGGGACATGTGGGATTATAATGCTGCAAACATGAACATACTTCAAGTTGTCAAAGTTCTCCGGCTCCATGCTCCAGATCTCCTCCACCTGGGATCCTTTGCAGCCTGACGAGGACAAACGAAGCATCAGACATTCATCCACACTTTGGACATGAAGGTGAACCCGTGAGTTCGTGGAGGTTTTATTTTTTTTTTAACAATCTTTACTGTGTGATGTTGTTAATGAATGACAGCGCGTTCGCTGTGTTTTGTTGGTGCTCGTGTTTAATCGTTTCCTTGTTCTCGGGCCTCTGTTGGAAATTAAACCTCGATCCCGGTGTGACCGATTAAATACAGATTCAATTAAAAACTAAATCAGTCTGTTTTCACCCGCCGTTGTTTTGAACGCTGAGTAATGCTAGCCACCTAGCTAGCCTGAGCAGGTTAGCTCCGAGAACCCGTGCCACTTCCATGAGAGTGCAGTCTCCCGGTGGCGGTGCTCGGGACCATTTCACTTTCAAGCTGCGTGTGGCGTTTTTTTTTTCTTTCCTCCATTTTCACGCGTTAAATCAATTGCAGCTAATTTCTCTCGTTAGCCGTACAGCAGCTAAGCTAGTTAGCGCCGTCGCATTAGCTTGCGCGATGCTACATTGAATGAGCGGCTAGCCGTCTAGCTCCGCGCCACTCACCGAAACCTTTAATGAGCTCGGTGAACACCCCGGGGTCGCTCTCCATCAGACACCATTCTCCCGCGCTTCCGGCCATGATTCACGGTGAAACACAAAAAAAACCAGGATTCACGCTGCTGCGCTCATAAAACCGGATGCTAACGTGCTAGCTTAGCGGCGCTCCCGTTAGTCAGGCTAATTTAACCGAGGGGGGGAGATGGAGTGACGTCAGAGCTGCGACGCGCATAGAGCGGGTGCGCTCGTTTTACGCAAAACAGTTTGATCTACAGAAAATTAATCCCGAACACCGACAAACTTTTTTAAATCTGAAAATAAATTAAAACTTATATTAATTGATTTAAACTAATCAACGCGTCTTGGTTACGCGTTTTCTCCTATGAAATATAGCTGATACCCGCCCTCCTGCGCAGTAAGGGTGAATAAATGAAGCACTCCATCAAAGAAAACACGGTTGTTTAATTTTTATTAAATATCATAATACATTCAGTTTCTTAAAAAAAACAGGATTCATCTGCATAAACATCCCCATTCATTTAAATATTCATTACACCGAGCAGCATCGTGATTCCTTACACACAAAATAATCACACAGCCACTGAAATGGAACATGTTTTGACAAGCATGTAAAAAAAAAAAAAACGACTTTATATTTTTCCATTTACAGTCTATGCAATTAACCAACATTTATTTTCTTTAATTAGATATCAAGTTTCAAATGCTGATAACATAAAAAAAAACAAATCTGCGGTTATTTCAGTTCGACAAGACGCAGAGAAATTCCCTTTAAAATCCATTAACAGAACATGAGTCAATACTTGGTGGTGTTCACTGTTTGATGACGCTTGATGCGAGAGGTTGTGCTTGTTCGTGAGTGTAATATGGTTAAAAAAAACAACCATACAAAAGAGATTTGAAGTAGTTCACCTATTCACAGGCTGTGTTTAAAACATGGCAGCTTTAATAATAGTACTGTAACATCCCTACATGAAAACATATGTGTTTTAAACATGAAACATCCTATGCACTTTGATAAATACATAACAGGCCTGCTCAAGCAATGTAAAACATGTTGCATCAGATCGAGAAAACAATGAATAAATACAGGATTGAAGGATAATACAAGAACGGTTAGTCATTTAGCGAACTGTCCGCTTGCTGAGCCCTCGGAGCTGGAGCAGCAGGGGGAACACTGTTTGATCAGTGGCACCAGCTTCCCCTGCTGGTGGAGATGTTTGGTGTCTGAGCCTCCGCCGATGCAGTTTCCATTAATGAAGACTCTCGGCACCTGAGCACACAAATCACGTTGTCACATTGACACAGTGTGAACGACTGGTTCAATGACTGGCTGTTGTGATTACAATCTGGACTAGAGGCCATTTGTTTTTCACATGAAATTATTCTGAGTCAAAATAAAAAGCAAGTTCTTGGCTGAAGCCCCAATAAAAACCCCTGGACGACAAGGCAGCCCAAATGTAACTTTAACACTGAGCTGCCAATACGTGACATGAGATTGTTACCGTTCTGGCACCGGTCATCTGAGCTAAGGCCTCTTGCAGTCTCCTCCCGTCATTGTGTTCATCAAGTTCGACCACTTTGTAGTTGGCACCGATTTCATTGAAGACATTCTTGGCCATTTTGCAATAAGGACAGGTGGTCTTGGAGAATATCACGACACAGTTCTGTGACACCACCTCCTGAGAACACAGAAAAAAAAACAGATTTCAGTAAATATGAACAGATTGAAAAAAAAAAAAGCACACAATAGGCAAAGAGAAGATAATCATTATCTCCATGGTTAACATTTGGTAAGTGAGTAAACTACGGTAGAGGTTGTATTAAACAAAACTCATTCAACCTCTAATCAACTTTCTTAAACATACATTATCTAGATTTAACAATTCAAATTTAATCCTCACTTGATTTTACAGAAAATTTAGACTTACTAAATAAACCGCAAAGTTCTTGGAATCAGAATAACTGTGGTATATTTGTTTGTCATAGTTTTAGGGTACATATCATAAAGTATCTCGGACTCAGACTTGCAGAAAAGCATGAGAACAGGATGCAATACACCTCAACAAACTGACAAGAGACATCAAGCAATACGACTGAATAAGACGCCAAGGAGAGGGGTGAATTGTGGGAAATATTTGGAATTGAAAATATGAGATAACATGTGAATAACCAAATAACTGAAATTTAACATTCAGTTTTTAATGACAAATTTATCTGACACAGACATTTAAAACTAGGTCGTAGAAAGACTCAACACAAGACTGTCCCCCAAAGTTTTAGCGAGTTGGTAAAAGTCATCAGATCTCCCAGCATCTTCTCACCTGAACATACTGTACGCAGGCTGTGCCTGACAGACTCCCAGTCGTGGACGATGTATAATTTCCCATTCTAGAAAAAGACAAATCACAACATCCTTAAGTGTACAGTTTAAAGTATTCGCTCTATTTTTTCTACATTGCTCTACGTTAGAATCTGAGTTAATTTACACACAACAAGCGTTAACTGGAAGAATCAGCAGTAACCTTAGAATTGAGGAAATATCAAACGAAGAGACGAGCTGAAGGCTAATAATTAGCATTAAAATAATATCTAACTGGAGGATAACTGCTGGTCTGAAAATACTCATGTCCATAGTTCTGGTATAATGAACACCACGTTTTAAGTAGCGTTGTTTTACTCCATGTAATGTCCTGTCTGCGACTGCAGTGAGATTTATGTGCTGGTAATCTGGGATTAAGAGTTAACATGCTCCTCACTGTCACCAGTAATTGACTGGGATTTGACACCTTGGTGAAGTTAGTTTAAGGTTGGTTGTATTTGACAGTTGTTCCCTCCAGATCACTGGGTTTCACTGGGGATCGTACATACAACACAGTTCAGCATCCGTTTGGATTCAGTGGGTCACATGACATGGAAGGTATTAAAGATATAATCCTATAAATATTCATATTCATTAGAAATATTAACTATTGTAGAATAATGTAAATCCAATGTCCTGTTGTATTAGAGCACAAAGGAAAGAGACCTTAAAACATTTGTTTTCTAACAACTATCAGTAGAGTTAACCTTGTTGTAGGGACTTTCACCTTTGGACTCTCTGAAAAACGCGTGTTAGGGAGAATAACTCACTGTACTGAGGATTATGGGTAGTATAGCACTTCTCCTTGACATCACAAATAAACATTTGACAGCATACAGACATGTGGCTTATAAAGGAGCATATAACATATCACCATTTCTTAGATTGTTGGAAAACTACCTTGTATGGTTAAAATATTATTCCTGATAATCAAAGTCTCAGGAAATGAAACTCATGTTTGACTTCCAGAGCATCTGATGAGCTCTATGATTTGGAGTCGCATGACTCGGGACAATCATTTATCGAAGGTCCCTAAAAGTGAAAACCCTGTAATCCGAGTATCGAATGTAAAACTAACTTCAGCCCAAGTGGGTGAGCGTCAGACCAAAGCTCGTTGAAAATCTGTCAACATCAAGAAAACCACCCAAATTTGAAAATGAAAAACTTCCTATCACGGAACTGCAGGTGTTTCATGAAACCAAAGCATCTCAAAGTAAATTCGGCTTCTGTTTTATACACCTCAGAGAACTTGATTCAATGAAAACCCTAATGTTTGTAATATCTTCACAGCAGCTGAAAGATGGCCGGTGTGCCTGAGCTAACGGTGACCGTGATAAGTGATGCCAGAGATAAATGTTAACATTTAAAACAAACAACAGCTCAGTGATGGATCATATTTACGCCGAATTCCCCTTAAGAACCTATTGGATTGTGAAGATGAAGAAAAGCATGCGTTACTTCACGAAAAAGACGCTTTAAAGTAAATCAAACTTTAAATTACGTGAAGTTACATTGACACCGCCGTTATAGGTGAACACGTGGCAGTGAAAACAACGAGCCTCTGAGCCGGAGACTGTTTCCGGTGATGTCGTTTCGTGAGCTGACGTGAACAGTTTTAAAACAGCTGTTGTTCTTTTACACTCATCTATGGACGGATCACTGACTAGCTAGCTATGTTTGGAGTCAAGCTAGCGGGTATGACCTTCGGCAGCCGGTCCACGTCAGCCTCGGGAGACTTCCCGCCCGAGACAACATGGAGACAAAGGAACACATGGCCAGAAAGTAATCGAGCTGTTGACCTGGATGAAACATGCGGCGACAGAACACGCAGCTCTGGACTCACGCGCCAGCCTCTGTTGTTAGCAGCGTTTGTGGCTAGCGCTAAAGCTACAGCCAACCCTGACGTCAGGCGCCGGAAGCAGCGTCTGACGCAGGCGCGCAACGTCGGCGCGCGACCTCCAGCGTGCGCGCTCACTGTGACGTCACATGTAAACAAAAACATAGAGAGAGAGAGAGATGATAGAGAGACATTAGTTGTCATTCTATGTTTATGTCTGTTATATTGATTTATTGATTTATTTGTATTTATGTGTGAAGTAAACTAATTTGGGCCTTTTTTGGCAAATGTGCGTTTTTTCAACAAGCTGTAATCTGGACGTGAACCTAAAGTGTCCCATGTGATAAAAGGTGAACATGACGGTGGACGTGTGGAATGGCTTTGGTTTACTTGTGGCCCAGATCGGGAAAACAGGAGCGGACCATTCCACGTATCATGGCGCCAAAATACGGGGCCACAGCGATGATGCTGTGTGAGGTGGAACTCCAGCAGAGAGAAGAGATAACATTCCTCAGTCGTCTCAGTTTGTCTGTTCAGCAGAGGCATCAGTGCTGCTGCTGCTGCTGCTGCTGCTGCAGATTATTTCTTCCTTCATCCTCAAAGATTTCAGTTTCTCCTCCTTCTTCAAATGCAGGTGGAAATGCATTAGTTCAGAATTAACCATTTCCCCATTTGCCACGTTAGCCCAGAACAGGCTGACAGGCTCTGGAAATCAATCACAAATCTAAAGATCTCTGATGAGGCAGAACAGAAGTGCTTCACTTCAAATGCCTTTTTTTCCCCCCATCTTCTCAAAGCCAAGGGAGAAATCCATCATTTCAGAATGGATTCACACCATCAAAGAGATCTACAGCTTTGCCCTTAAGGGGGTTATATCCTGACACAAAGCCAGAAATGTTATGAGAGATGGCGCAGAATAGCATTAGGGTTCAAATACCTGCTTGCAGCATTAATTCATATGATAACAGACAAGACGGAGCGGATAAAGCAGCTTGAATGTCCAACTGATCTCTACAACCCCTGGTCATTATAGTCAGGATGGATTGAACCTAGAAACTAAAGCTGCAGTCTTTGCCCTCCTGCCTGGATTTTAAGGTGTAGAACCCTTAAAAAGGTAAACGCTTCTTTCTGTAAGAAGGCTTCATCCATCATAAAGTCCCATGTGCAATCGGGGAATCATCTTTCTTCCAAGTATCAAACCAACATAACCTGCACTGGGCTTATCTTAACTTTACCAAAGGTTGTTCACAGGGCAAGAGAAAAGCTGATTCCCACTGTCTAGCCAAAGGGTTGCAATGATAAAAGGGATGTAACCTAAAAACTCCTGGGCCGAAAGCAGAGCATATTATCAAGTACAACTTTACAAAGACAGACTTAGTGGCTTAAAGTACTTTCCCACATTTTTTGGCCAAAGGATATGATAATCGGCTCAAACACTTAAAAGTGACTGGAATAAAAAATTAAAAAAGCATCTTTCTTGTCCCA